ACTTTAAGCAGCCCGTCTACTGATGGCTGGGGTTGTGTTCTCGCCCTGTTGGTTGTCTGGCCTGAGGCATCCCATCACTGGAGCCTACAGGCTGTTGGGTGGGGCCACATCTTGGTGAGAAGATGGTGCCCTCCAGGTGGGCTCATACCAATGAGTACTCCCTAGAACTGCTGCCACCAGTGTCCCTGTCCCTGCAGTGAGCCACAGCTACCCCCTGCCTCTTCAGGAGACCCTCCAATACTAGCAGGTTAAGTCTGGCCCAGTCTTTTATGAGGTCACCGCTTTTTCCCCTGGATCCTGGTGCACACAAGACCCTGTGTGTGCCCTCTAAGAGTGGACTTTCTGTTTTCCCCAGTCCTGTGGAATTCCTGTGATCAAACCCCACTGGCTTTCAAAGCCAGATTCTCTGGGGGCTCCTCCTCCCATTGCCAGACCCCCAGGCTGGGGAGCCTGATGTGAGGCTCAGAGGTTTTACTCCTGTGGGAGAACTTCTGTGGTATAATTAGTTTCCAGTTTGTGGGTCGCCTACCCGGCATGCATGGGACTTGATTTTATCATGATTGTACCCCTCCTACTGTCTTGTTGTGGCTTCTTCTTTATCTTTGGACATAGGGTATCTTTTTTGTAGGTTCCAGCATTTTTTTGTTGATGGTTGTTCAGTAGTTAGTTGTAATTTTGGTGTTTATGTAAGAGGTGAGCTCACGTCCTTCTACTCTGCTGTCTTGTCTCCCAGTCAAGATTAGGTTTTCCCCACAACTGAGTTGCAGAGTTTTGAGGACATTGTTGTTTATCTGTTCTATACATAATAGTCTGCATCTGCTAATCCCAAACTCCCAATACTTCCCTCCATCCTTCCTCCCGCAACCACAAGTCTGTTCTGTATATCTGTGTGTCTGTTTCTGTTTTGTAGATACGTTCATTTGTGTTGTATTTTAGATTCCATATATAAGTGATATCATATGGTATTTGTCTTTCTCTTTCTGACTTACTACACTTAGTATGATAATTTCTAGGTCCACGTTGCTGCAAATGGCATTATTTCATTTTAATGGCTCAGTAATATTCCATTGTATATATATACACCACATCTTCTTTTTCCATTCATCTGTTGATGGACATTTAAGCTATTTCCATGTTTTGGCTCTTGTAGTAGTGCTACTATGAACATAGGGGTACATGTATCTTTTTGAATTATAGTTTTGTTTGGATATATGCCCAGGAGTGGGATTGCTGTATCATATGGCAACTCTAGTTTTTTGAGGAACCTCCCTACTGTTTTCCATAGTGGCTGCTCCAATTTACATTCCCACTAACAGTGTAGGAGGGTTCCCTTTTCTCCACACCCTCTCCAGCATTTGTTATTTGTAGACTTTTTAATGATGGCCATTCTGACTGGTGTGAGGTGGTACCTCATTGTAGTTTTGATTTGTATTTCTCTGGTAATTAGTGATGATGAGCATTTTTTCATGTGCCTTTTGACTATCTGTATGCTTTGGAGATATGTCTATTCAGATCTTTGGCCCATTTTTTGATTGGGTTGTTTGGGCTTTTGTTGTGGTTGTGTTATTTAGTTGTATGAGCTGTTTGTATATTTTGGAAATTAAGCCCTTATCGGTCACATCATTTGCAAATATTTTTCTCCCAGTCCATAAGTTGTCATTTCGTTTTGTTTAAAACATGATTGCTTGCTTCATCTAAATCCCCAGAGAAGAGCATCAGCTATCAAGCAAAAATCACAGTTTAACAAAATAATTTTTAGCCTATTCACAGAGGTTACATCCCCTCAACATTACTGTATTCTATTGGTTAGAAGCAAGCTATTTAAAGGGGGTGAGGGATTATATAAGGCTTTGAATACTGGGAACTGCGATCATTGGAGGACATCTTACAGCCTGCCTACCACACTTTTCTCCCATGTCAAGAATTCTAGTTACCAAGGACAGTGGGATGATAAAATTAAAATATCACATCGGGCTTCCCTGGTGGCGCAGTGGTTGAGAGTCCACCTGCCGATGCAGGGGACACGGGCTCATGCCCTGGTCTGGGAAGATCCCACATGCCGCGGAGCGGCTGGGCCTGTGAGCCGTGGCCACTGAGCCTGCGCGTCCGGAGCCTGTGCTCCGCAACAGGAGAGGCCACAACAGTGAGAGGCCCGCATACCGCAAAAAAAAAAAGACATCATTTATGCATTTAAAATTTTAATAGATACTAAAGTAACTCCAGATTGGCTTTGCCAGTTTACATCCCATATCCCATATCCTTGCCAATATTAATCAAACTTTTAAATAGTTGCCAATCTCTTAGGTGTGTAATGGTGTGTTGTTTTTATTTTTAATCTCCAAATACTAATAGAATTATGATCTTTTTATATGCTTATTGGCCATTTGCATTTCTTCCTTTTTGAATTCCTTATTCATATCCTTTGTCCAGCTTCTTTTTGGGCTTTTTAACTTTTCCTTATTGATTGGCAGAAATTCTTTATAGTCTGTATATTAACCCCTTAATTAATATGGATTAGTTAATCCATATTAATATGTGTGTGCAGTTATGTGTGTATATACACACACACACGTGTCATTAAAAAAATAGGACTACCTCTGAAGCCAAGATGCTAAATTGGAGTCCTGCTGAATCCCAGGCTCCAGGCAGAGTGAACCTGCTACTGAATTATCTGGACTATCTGGAGAAGCAAGAGAAGTCCCAGTTGTGGCCATGCCAGTTCCCTCCAGAACAAAAAAGGGCTCAGGAACCAAGGTGGAGAAAAACAGCTTCACATAGAATCAGGAATCTAGCCTGCTAGGAAAGAGTCCTTTACACCAGGAAATCTGCAGATAGCACTTCTGCTACCAGGATTTCCTTGGGCCTTGGCTCTGAGCCATCTCTGCGAGATCTGGAAGTAACAAAGACCCAACCCCTCCCTCCTCCCAGTAGCAGTGACTTCACCAAGATATGTTTATGTCCTCACATGTAAATTTTGGAGGGAGGCAATTTCCAGGGCTCTATTCCAGCCTTTAGGGAACCAGGTTCCTTCTAGCTTATTACTCCATCACTTCCTGAGCAGGTACTGGTGTGTATAGAGCACCTGGGCCAGTTCTGCTCTAGTCTTCCCTGTGCTATACAGTAGGACCTTGTTGTTTACCTACTTTATATACAGTAGTGTGTATCTGCTAATCCCAAACTCCTAATTTACCCCTTCCCCACCCTCTCCCCTTTGGTAACCATAAGTTTTCTCTATGTTTCTGTTCTGTAAATAAGTTTATTTGTAGCCTATTTTAGATTCCACTTATAAGTGATACCATATTTGTCTTTTTCGGTGTGACTTACTTCACTTAGTATGATAATCTCTAGGTCCATCCATGTTGCTGCAAATGGCATTATTTCATTCTTTTTTATGGCTGAGTAGTATTTCATTGTATATATGTACCACATCTTCTTCGCCATGCATCTGTCAATAGACATTTAGGTTGCTTCTGTGTCTTGGCTATTATAAATAGTGCTGCTATGAATACTGGGGTGCATGTATCTTTTCGAATTAGTTTTTTCTCCAAATATATCCCCAGGAGTGGGATTGCTAGATCATATGGTAGCTATATTTTTAGTTTTTCTAAGGAATCTCCATACTGTTCTCCACAGTGGCTGCACCAATTTACATTCCCACCAACAGTGCAGGAGGGCTCCCTTTTCCCCACATCCTCTCCAACATTTGTTATTTGTAGACTTTTTAATGATGGCCATTCTGACTGGTGTGAGGTGATACCTCATTGTAGTTTTGATTTGCATTTCTCTAATAATTAGCAATGTTGAGCATCTTTTCATTGTAGTTTTGATTTGCATTTCTCTAATAATTAGCAATGTTGAGCATCTTTTCATGTGCCTTTTGGCCATCTGTATGTCGTCTTTGGAGAAATGTCTATTTAGGTCTTCTCATTTTTTGATTGGGTTTTTTGTTGTTATTGATTTGTATGAGCTGTTTGTCTATTTTGGAAATTAAGCCCTTGTCACATCATTTGCAAATATTTTCTCCCTGTCCATAAGTTGTCTTTTTGCCTTATTGTTCCCTTTGCTGTGCAAAAGCTTGTAAGTTTGATTAGGTCCCATTTGTTTATTTTTGCTTTTATTTCTATTGCCTTGGGAAACTGACCTAAGAAAACATGGCTATGATTTACATCAGAGAATGTTCTGCCTAGGTCCTCTTCTAGAAGTTTTATGGTGTCATGCCTTATATTTAAGTCTTTAAGCCATTTTATTTTTGTGTATGGTGTGAGGGTGTGTTCTAACTTCATTGATTTACATGCAGTTGTCCAACTCTTCCATCACCACTTGCTGGAGAGTGTCTTTTCTCCATTGTATATTCTTGCCTCCTTTGTCGAAGATTAACTGACCGTAGGTGTAGGTTTATTTCTGGACTTTCTGTTCTGTTCCATTGATGCATGTGTCTGCTTTTGCGCCAGTATGACACTGTTTTGATTACTGTAGCTTTGTAGTATTGTCTGAAGTCTGGGAGGGTTATGCCTCCAACTTTGTTTTTTTTCCTCAGCATTGCTTTGGTAATTCTGGGTCTTTTATGATTCCATATAAATTTTAGGTTTATTTATTCTAGTTCTGTGAAAAGTGTTAATGGGTAATTTGATAGGGATGGCATTAAATTCTGCCTGCATTTTAAAATGGCATTCCCGGGGCTTCCCTCGTGGTGCAGTGGTTAAGAATCCACCTGCCAATGCAGGTGACACAGGTTCAAGCCCTGGTCCGGGAAGATCCCACATGCTGTGGAGCAACTAAGCCCATGTGCCACAACTACTGAAGCCTGTGTGCCTAGAGCCCGTGCTCCACAACAAGAGAAGCCACCGCAATGAGAAGCCCACACACCATAATGAAGAGTAGCTCCCACTCGCCGCAACTAGAGCAAGTCCCTGCACAGCAACGAAGACCCAACGCAGCCAAAAAAAGAAAAAAAAAAGGCATTCCCCAGAGAAAACTACCAGGAAAAAAAGAAAAGGAGGCAGGATTTCATTCTTTAAATGTACAAATTAATCAATTCAATTCAACTAATAAAGGAGTTCCCAAGTTTGATATCAAAATTAGACCTAGAAAAAGATACCAATAGATTTCAACATTTTTACAGATCATTAACATTGTTATAACAGTTTTTGAAACTCTACATAGATTTTTTTAAAGAAATATTAGTCATTTAATTAATAATTTCATTGTATACATACATCAGGTTTGTTTTGGGTACAATCTGATGTAGTTTTGATTTTTCTGTGTCTTACTAATGTCTGCATTGTATCTGTTTTACCTGCCTTAATCTGACATATTTGCATTATGTGCCAAGTAGAAATGGGCAACATCTCTCCGAAAATCCCCAAGTTCTAGAGAGGCACCTGGGTTACAGGCTCTGTGCAGGTGCCATGCATTGCTCATGGCTACATCAATCATGTAGCTCACCAAAACTGAGTACCATTTCTTGCCTCTTATTCTCACCCTATATTTGGAAATGATCTGTTCCATTTTAGCTACGCCTTCCCTGCATTCATCATACAGTTTCACTATGGAAGGCTGACTTATCTGAGGGATCTCCTTGTCATCGGCAAAACAACATATCTCATTGACTGGCTCTATGCCAACAGCGTTGGAGCACAGACTGATAATACCATCACCATGCCAATGACACAGAATTATCTCATCATTTTCTTCTACTCGGAAATCGAAATACCCCTTCTGCATTTTTTTCATATGTTCTGCACTCATCAGGGGACATTTTTCAGTCCTGTTCTCACGAATTGTTCCTGTTGCCCTCACCCCTTTCTTCTTCAAGGCTGACATCAATTTGACACTTGTAAAGAAGCTATCAAAACACAGGTGATAGGGATAGTGACCTCTCTCTAAAAGAACATCAGCAAAATTCATCACTAGATTTCCACCTAAACCAAGATCAAGATCCTTACCTGCCATCACAGTTGACTCTTCTTGATAGGGCTCAAACCAAACCAGATAACCCTGTGCGGTTGTACCACACCAGACTTTATAGCCAATTCTAATAGGTTTCCCATTCAGGAATTGGTCACTATCAAAGCACTCACACATTGTCTTATCAAAACAATAGTATTCTTCAAGGGGAGCGTACAGGAGAAAATTTTTATTCATTTGCTTTATGAGAGGCCTCAATTTTGTAAACTTATCATTTTGATCTAGGTGGCTATTATCTGCAAAATGCAGGTATGAGAAAATCAATTCAAATCTGTCCCTTCTGATTGAATCTCTAACCAGGTTCTGATCAGCATCAGACATTTCCCAATACATTCCCCTTTTGGGACGCCTCACAAGGCCACTCAAAAGCAGGACACCAAGCACACACCTCATTTCCTGAACTGTGACTTCCAAGTTGACATTTTTCTGAGAAGCATAATTATTGGTTTCACTGACAATCAAGTTGAATGTTTCATCATCAAAAAATAACTCAAAGAGCTCCACTGGGTTCAACTTTTCACTCTTGAGATTCAAAAGTCCAGAATCCAGTGCTGACCAGCTTGGAAAGTTGGGTTTAATGTCTCTTTTAGTCCAGTTCTTCTCTGGGACGCTTGACACCTTTGGTCTTTTTGGAGCAGGCTGAGTCTCAGGCTCGTCATCCTCTTCCACATCTGAATCACCAGAAAATGCGAGGCCTTGGAGCAGTTCACTCACTCGAGCTTTGTCTTTTTTTCTCCCTTTTCGGGTAATGTCTCCTGCAGCATATTCCAGGGATGAGATGTGCATCCGAGCCCACAAGTCAGCAGGGTGATGGTCCTTCAGAGTATTCGAATGTGCAACTGTTCTTTCAGCAGGAACAGGGGTACTACAAGGGGCCTGGGGTACCCAATCTCTGGGAAAGAAAAAAGAACGTATGCTATAAAAATTCTGTCTCATTCACTGATACAGGATAAATCCACTGACGCCTAAGGATTCTTTTGTGGGGAATACTTCCTTCTCACTCCTCATGTTTCCATGGGGAGGGCTTTGGCCAGACTGAACATTTCTGGCCTCTTCCCACTTCCCACTCATTCCTCATGACTTAACTAATTGTTGAATCTGGGAGAAAGAACTGGGCTGTCCTCTTCAGAAGCCAGTTGCAGACATTCCATGTTCCTTTTTCCCCCAAGATGCATCAGGAAGGCCTATGCGCAGGGCCTATGCTGTCACTATGCGGCCACTTAGCTCTGCCTCTGAGTGGCTTTATCAGTCTAGCTTCTGTCAGTCATAAAGCAGAGGTTTCCAGAATCATCTGTTTTACTGCTGTGTCTCTATCAATTGGTTCTGAATTTGGACAAGGAAATGGGTTGTTATTTACTGAGCCCCCTCACCTCTCACAGAATTTCTGAACATGGAACAACTTAGCCTCCCCTAGTTCTGCATTCATCTGGTGGACGCACTGTTTCTGGGGAGAAACAAAAGAGAAACTCAAACTTATTGCCCTTGGACTGATTTTTATGCAGTTTTCAAGGAAATAAGCTGAAGTTACTAAGATGGAAATTATTATTTTACACAAACTTCTTTAATTCTAGAAATATGCATGTCATTTACAAATGTCCTGTTGGTACATTAAATTAGACCAATTTAAGAAGACGTAAGGGAGGAAAAAGCAGTGAAAAGAGTATGTTGTAATATAATTTACACTATATATACTTGTTTGCTTAGAGCATTTATCATCCTGGGTGTCTTTAATGTCTGCATGTATGATCCATTCAGTAGATCCATCTTAGAGTTCCCTGACATCTTCAACTTCAGGGGCCCTGCTTGAATCCTGTCACTACACTGAACTTTCCACTGGTGAAAACTGAACTCCAAGAGCTCACTCTGTAGCCAATTCCTTTTCACTCTAGCCTCCTTGCACTCTTGTCCCACAACACCTGTTCTTCCATCTCACTCTGACTCCTCCGTTTCCTCCTGCTTTTACCTCCCTTCCTATTCTGTCTAGACCTCGTGATCCATCACCACCTTAGTCCTTCTCTTGCCAGGATCATCAATCACCCTGGCGCAGTGTCCTTCTGTAGTGGTGGGCCAGCAAAACTCAGCACCAGATCAACCCCATCCTTAGTCGTCTCTGTTCCTCACCCAGGAGAGAGTAGTGCCAGAGAAATCAAACAACGAGGTAGACTGACACTGCTAAATATGATGGTCTCCAAAACTCACCTAGTTACTCAACACTGCCCAGAAATCCTTCTCATGCCCTCTCGTCCCTTTCTTCCCTGTTCCCCACAACAGGTGTTTCATCACTCTTCTCAAATCTACCAGTCTATCTCCAAACATGACTTCCTTTCCTACTCCAAAGAGGACCCAGAATTTTTCAAGCAGAAACTTGCTCTTTAAAATGATCCTCTGGGACGTCCCTAGTGGTCCAGCGGTTAAGACTCTGCAGTCCCAATGCAGGGGGGGCCCGGGTTCGATCCCTGGTCAGGGAACTAGATCCCTCATGCCGTAACTAAAAGATCCTGCATGCCGCAGCTAAGACCCAGCGCGGCTAAATAAATAAAATAATAAAATGATCTTCTGTGGCTCCTGTAACTCTTCTCTCCTAGTCTTCTCCTGTCCTCTCTAGGCATTTGCATTTTCTTTCTCTGCCTCTCTCTGATCCACCTCCTCTTTAGCTGGTAAATTCCTGCTTACTCATCAGGGCCTGTTTCAAATGTTACCTCTTCTGGGAGGTCTTCTCCAGTATCCAGATCTCTGTTGGGTCCTCTCCTGCAAGCTCTATCATAGCTACAGGGCACGTCATCATACTGCATTGTGTTCTGTGTTTTCTCATCTGCTGTACCCTCACGTGACTTATTGAAGGTAGGGTCTCTGTCTTATACATGACTGAATATGAGTGATAAAATGCTTGCTGAATGAGTGGGGAGGTTGCTGGGGGTGCGGGGGAGGGGTACACTCAGTCTCTGACATCATGATGGAACACCAAACCTAGAACATCCTACCCCTTCAGACTTCTTGTCACGTGAAACAGTAAGGTATCTTGATTCTCGGAGGCACTGTGAGTGATGGTTTCAGTTACCTGATGTAAACGTACCTGACAGACACAACAGCAGGTTCCTATTCTCCAGTTATAACTCTGAGCTAAGTCACAGTGTTCTTTCTCTTACTTTAGTGCAGCTTGGCTCGGAGTTCACCAGCTTTATGAAAGATCTTACTTCTCATCTTAGGCTTCAAGACATTTCTCTTTTAACTGAGATTTAGCTCCCTGTTTCCCTAAGATGAACAAATGTCAATAAGGAGAATCCTCATCCCCTGCCCTACTCTTCAGTGTAATTATCGCACGCTGTTTCCTTTTTCTTCTTTCCTCACGTCTCCAAGGAGTTAATGGCCTCACCAGAACCCAACCTTTGCTCATGATCCAGTCCCTCTCTTTCTGCTTTAGGAGCACCTATGCTAGACAGTCATTCCACAACCAACACTCATTAAGCACCCACTACTATCTTTAATTTGTCCTTTGTCATCAGCTACTCTCCTTTTAATCCTTGCTCAGGATTCTCCTAATGGAGGTCGAAGATACCCTACCTGTCTTCCCAAGTCCTCTTCCAGGTCTGATGATATTTCTTTCTTAACCATCATGGCAACAAACCTTACCTGCAGACCTCACTCTCTTGTCTAAATCCTCTGCTTCTCTATCTTCTTTTCTTTCTGGCTTCAGTATCTGTAGCCCCACAACATAAGGGAGCCAGGGGAAGAGTGATCAGGCAAGGTAAACTGAGTCAGAGAGGATTCTTGGAGGCAACCGTGTACCAAATAGAAGTTTTGTATAATTATGATATACTGACAGGTCACCTCCTTGGCGTGGGACCTCCTATGATCACAGAAGTGAGCATTACTCTTTCTGTATTATTCCAGGGAAGCAGGCTTTTACCAACTGGTTTCTCTAGTTTCATTTCAATTTCTTCTCACATCTATAGGATTTGTTCTACTTAGGACCATGGACACTCACCTGTTGGGTATTCCTGAGACCTCAGCACCTCGTTCCATTTCTTCAGAAGTTTCTTGCTTTGTGTTAAACAATCCATCTTTAGTTACAACTTCTTCAGCTAAAATAATATGTTAATAATTTAAATGTCATTTGTTGCCTGAATCTAGAAAAACAATCTCTAGGGTAAGGAATAGGATGTTCCAAATTAAAACAAACAAAAAATCAACAGGTGTACCAGGAGTGCAGTCACAACAGTCCTAAACATGTGGCAGAGTATGGGAAGATAATAAGAAAGGTCAATTTGCAGGGGAGAGTATCTAACAGGGCAAAGCATATTACATATGGACAGTAGTGCTCACAGAGAGTGAAGAAAACTTCCTCTGAGGTAAAGAAGGGATCAGGCAGAGGTGTTTGTGGAACTTTCAGGTATTAAGGGATGTCTGAAAATGACAAATTATATGGGACCCTTGAAAAGGGAAGAAAAAAGGGAGCAGAGGAGAAGATGTTGAGGGAATCATGATCAGAGAAGATAACAGCAAGAATCAGTAGTGAGTAGCAACAGAAGAAGATAAGGGGACTGGGCGGGATTCAAAATGGCAGGGGCTGAGAGAAGTGTGGAAGCAGAGGCCAGAAGAAGGGGAAGGAAGGGTGAGGGCATGTAGGAAATGTGGGTTCACAAGGGCCGAGTCAGGGTTAATGATGGGAAAGGTGAGCACAGCTGGGGACCAGCCAGAGGCCTATCCTTACGCATCAGACTGACGTTTGTAACCTTCTCCTGAGCCGAGTTTCCACAGAGGTTCCTCTGGGCCAGACTCAGATGTGGCCACTGCTCTGGGACAAGGCCCTGGGCTGCTGCTTCCTCAGTCTTCACTGATGTCTAAAAAGGCAAAAAATGGCCTCTCAGTCTTCACTGTGGTAAGGATAAGGGGTCTAGGTGTGAAGGGTGTTGAATACCACACTGCAGACCAGTCGAACCAAGCCAACCAGCAGGGCCCTGCTCTCTCCGAAGGTCTACGGGACGACTGTCCTGCCTCTCTCAGCTTCTGGGGGTTGTCAGCAGTCCTGAGTGTTCCTTGGCTGGTAGATGCATCACTCCAGTCTCTGCCTCTGCCGTCACATGGCCTCCTCCCTGTGTGTCTCCCTGTCTTCACATGGCCTTCTTATAAGGACATCGACCGTCGGATGCTGGGCCCACCCTCCTCCAGTAGGACCTCACCTTAACTTGATTACATCTACAAAGAATCTATTTCTAAATCAGATCACAGTCATAGGTACCTGGGGTTAGGACTTCAATATATCTTTTCGGGACACAATACAAGCCATAACTTCATCTTAGGTCTACTTCAATTAATGTTATTTTTCTCTTTCTCTGGCTGGTCTTTCATTATTCGACTCAATGCTAGTTTCATTCTACTGTCCACCCACATCTCTGCCCTTTCATTTTCCTAGCCTTTTGATCTTCTTATTCCTCCTTAATTCAAACCTAATGATTACACATCAGTGCAAACGTTTAACTACTTTGTTATTTCTTGGTGTGATCATGTCCAAACATTTGCTTTTTTTTTTTTTTTTTTTGCAGTACGCGGGCCTCTCACTGTTGTGACTTCTCCCGTTGCAGAGCACAGGCTCCAGACGCGCAGGCTCAGCGGCCATGGCTCACAGGCCCAGCCGCTCCGCGGCATGTGGGACCTTCCCAGACCGGGGCATGAACCCACTTCCCCTGTATCGGCAGGCGGACTCTCAACCACTGCGCCACCAGGGAAGCCCTACATTTTTGAAATACTTTTTTTTTAATAAATTGCTTTTTGTTTCTCCATTATATAGCATTTTAGATAATTATATTGATTTAAATATACATATAGGTAAGTTTTACTTGCTATACATTTCTTTTCAAGAAGGTGAAGTATTTGTTAAGAACAGGAGGCACTGGGTCTGATAGGATTAAGAACAAATTAAAAGTCACAGAGTGGGGCTTCCCTGGTGGCGCAGTGGTTGGGAGTCCGCCTGCCGATGCGGGGTCTGCGGGTTCGTGCCCCGGTCTGGGAAGATCCCACATGCTGCGAAGCGGCTGGGCCCATGAGCCATGGCTGCTGAGCCTGCGCGTCCGGAGCCTGTGCTGCACAGCAGGAGAGGCCACAACAGTGAGAGACCCACATACCACAAAAAAAAAAAAAAAAAGTCACAGAGTGAGGAAAGGACTCCATGAAGACCCTGTTCTTGAGGAAACTGACTCAGCAGCAGAGGACTTAAATATTTTTTAACTAAATGACTAGGAAAATGATTGGACCACTAAGAGAATAAGGGGGAAAAAAAACCAAGAGTCTATTTTGTGAAGATGTGAAGTTTTGCCTTGGATACACAGAATTTCCATTATCATCACCAAATATTAATTGGGTATGTGCAGAACACTGGGACTATAAGGTAACATGAGGAAAAGTACTGCTTCTCAGACTGGGGAGAGAAACCAGAGACCCCCTCAAAAGATAAAACATCAGTCACTGAGCATCAGATGAGTAGAGGCACTTTCTGAAACCAAGGGCCCAACTCTGCCCCTTATTCTCATACCTTGAGATCTGATGTGCCTCCTACATACGGTATGGAATGAGGCCACTGCATAATCTATGTGATCTATGTGAGCTCCCCGGATGAGGCATAAGTGGTCTGTGATATTCTGTGACAAGGTGAAGGCAGAGGGACGGTGCCACCTGGAAGGCTCCAGGGTGAGCAGTGTGAGCCGAGAAAAGGGCAGGGACAGGTGGTCGAGGGAAGCAGGGCTGCGACTGAGGTTCGCATAGCCCGGGCACCGTGCTCACCTGGGACCTGGCTGAGTTAAACCCCGGTACTGCTGCCTGGTCTCTGGGATTCTCTTCCTGGGGAGGGGCTGGTCCCTGGGGAGCAGGCCCTGTGGAAGGAGGAGACAAGAGTCCTGAATGAGACACAATGGCTTTTAGAGAGAGATCATTTAAAGAGAGAGCCCTTTGTGGGCGACCCAGACCCCAACTCTTCTTATGTTTGTTAAACATCCAGGAACTAAGATACAGATCTTACGCTAGAACATCATATCTGCTTTCATTCTTTCAGAATTCTAAAACTTTAGGGTCCCTACCCACAAAATAAGTGGTGTTTATGAACTCATGAGGTGCTCTACAGTGATGCACTTTCACATTCATAAAGAAAAATTAGAAATCATTGATGAAAATAAGGAGAGGGAAGGCAGAACTTGGTGATAAAGGAAACATTAACCAGAGAACAAAGAAGAAAGAAAAGAAGTGGAGAACAGAGAGAGAAGGCAAAGGGGAAACAGGAAAGCAGATAAGAGGAAGATGAAAAGAGAAAATAAAGATACAAAAAATAGAGTTGATAATGGGGGAGGCAACGTATGGGGGGAGGCAGGGGGTAGATGGGAAATCTCTGTACCTTTCTTTCAATTTTGCTTAACATAAAACTGCTCTAAAAAAATAAAGTCATACATGTACACCTGAAACTAACACAACATTGTAAATCAACTGTACATCAGTAAAAAAAGTCACACACACACAAAAACAGTCATACATACATACATAGAAGAGATGCTAACCCTGAGCTAGGAGAACTTTTGAGAATCTGCCACACTGGAAACTGTAACAATAATTCAGACAGTCATAATGATTGCAAGGTGCCAGGCACTGCACTGTTACTTAAAAAGATTCTTTCCAATTCCTTATCTGTACAATGGGGAGAACACAGTCTACTTTACTTTACAAGGTTAATGAAGATTGAGGTAACATAAAAACTCTCTGTAAAAGCCCTCTGTAAGTTGTAAGACCCCACACAACGTAATGTATCATTATTTTTCAAGATGGCAACAATATAAGGAGCCCAAAATTACTAAATGAAGAGCACAGGGGATAATTCTAACCCAAAATGTAACACAGAACATAGTACCACTTTTCCTTGCTCCAGACACAGTGGATCACTGTGTAATCTTTCTGTTGCTGTTGTTTCATATCTAGAGCAAATAAGGCTTGCTAGGACAATAAAATAGCCTTGCCCCTGATTCACTGTTACTACCTTACCTCCCCACAACGCATATATGCCAAACAACCAACAGCTTAAAAAGCGCAGTGTAAAGCAGGTCTGCTGTCAGAGAAAGGGCTAAGCTGAGGAGGGGCAGGATGGCAAGAGAGAATGGAAGGGGGCAACGGTATAATGCAGTGAGGAAAGAGAGCAACAGCAATGGGAAATTTGAGAGAGCAAAGGTCAGATCAGACTCTGTGTTTGCCTCTTATAATCCTCCTGAGGTGGAAAAGCATTAGGGTTAAGCCTGGGAAGAAGGCGGAGGAATGTTTTCAAACATATTAAAGTTCACTACAAATACCACACTGATCTGTTGCTCTATATCTCTGCCAAAGACAGAACAAGAGAAAATGGGCTTAAGTTGCAATGAATAAAATGATCTCAAGGTCTTTTCTACTTCTCCATCAACATATCGAAAATTTACCAATGTGTCTGACCCTAAGAATCGATCACATTTGAGCATTAAGAGACTGGCAAAAATAAAGTACTCAATAGTTTTCATTTTAAATCTAGTGTTCCACGACAGGTGAGAATGAAATACTATATACACACAAATAACACAGTCACTATAAATCATAGTTTTGATTTTAAAAAAGGGCTTCAGTGGCACCCAACTTTTTAATGATAAAGCCCAAACCTCCTGGTTTGAATTTAAACACCCCATAAAATGGCCCCAACTGACCTTCCCATTCCCCCCACCCACTCTTTCCCCTAAACAGACCCCACCATCCTGTCATGCTGGTTTACTTAGTACCCCATTGAAAATACTAGCAGGAGAGGAGGGAATGCAGGTAGCCTGGGAAACTGATCTTCAGTTCATTTGGTCGCAGGTATCCTGGAGAAATGTGCTTGGGTTATGACTAGTAAGCAGGGAGGCCCTTAGCCAGTCTCCAGAATATTTGGGAGGGCCTTAGAGGGTATAAAAAGCCCTTGAGAATGACAGGGTGTGCTTCCTAAAGGACAACAGAGCAACCTGATTACACACACCACAGCAGTGGCGCATCGCACGGGGACCTAGAGAACCAAAGAAGCCCCCCCTCCGCCCAGTAGATGCTGCTGGAGTCCAGTTCTGAGAGCCAGCTCATGCTCACACGAAAGAATCTTATATCCTATGACCGCTGTTATCTTTCTGTCAATTATCATCACCAATCTGACAAGTACCTCCATTCTTCATTACCCCCTCCCCCTCCACAGTCAAAGTGAGATGAAACTGATTTCAGCAGATGCATGTTCATCATCTCACAGGTAGATGGGAATACTCACCCTATGCCTGCTCCAATGCAAATCCTCATGTATCAAGGCTCAATGCAAGCTCATGACTCCAGGAAAGCTTTCCCAACCCCAGGGCCATAAGGCTCCCTACCACGTCTAAACTTCTTCACGTAAAACATTTGGGCTTCATGTCATGGTGGTTTTTAATAACCAAAGAAATAAGACAGAACTATCAATCAAGTAAGTAGGGAAATATCAAGTTCTATTTATGCTCCAATGGGTAAATATCACAAGTAATCTGAACCTCATACATTTTCTTTTATCTCCCTTGAATGTTTTTAAATCATTTATTATATGAACCATTTATTCTGCACTTAATATCAAAATATCAGTATTCACAGATCACCAATGTGGTGACTGTAAACCAATGTGGTAAATCATGAAGTTGTGTGTGTCATTTTGTATGCCTTTTCTAGGGAAGAGAGTTAATCCTTTTCAATAAATTCTGGGGGAAAATGATAGCATCCCTCACCACAAAGGTTAAAAAACATTGCACTACGGAGTTCTGAGGTCTCCTTTTTGAACGATCTGTATACTTCTGTGTGTTCTCAAACCATCTGCAAACTGCAGGCCGCAGACTTTGCCTTCTTTGCACGGCCTATCTTACTGCACACAGCTGAAATATAACCAGTAGCTGGGATGGATACGGAAAGTGAGAGAGCCGTGCACACAGGAGGGTACACTCCAAGTGCAGGAAGGAGAGAACCTGTTTAAACCTAAAGCTGTATGTAAATTACTGAAAGATTAGAAGCAGGGAGGCTACTGAAGAAAATGTTACCATGGGGAAAAGACAAATTTATGGAAAGCTACCAAGTAAATATTTAAAATATTCACAAGTGTAGAATTAGAAATGTGGAATAGAGATATATAGTAAAGAGAGAATCTTGGTCAGAAGGTCACGTGACTTAACTCTGCCTCTGTTGACCCTGGTCAAGTCACTTAAACTCTGAGTTTTGGTTTTCCTAACTATTAAGGGTGTTGGATAAGAATATCTTAGACTTCTAACATTTTACAATTCCAAATGTTTTTAAAAGTTTGCTTAGGTATAGGGCTAACAACAACAACAACAAAACCCCACAGATAAACAAGCTTTACTTAGAAGGCCATGCACCTGCCAGCGGCCTGCTCCCAGTGTCCTTACTAAACTCACCCTCCGGCACTCACCACTCACTTCTTGGGCGACCTCTTGGTGGGGCTCTGGGGGTTCACACTTCAAGGTGGTTACCCCAGGCAGTAGCTGGGGCCTCTGACACCCCAAAGAGGTTCCTTGATATTCTGTCACCGGTAGGTGCATATCCTGTCCCTGAGTGTAGACAGAAGCCTGGGGACAAAAGGTTCACTTTGAAAAGGAGGGAGACACAAGAGGGAGGAGATATGGGGGTATATGTATACATATAGCTGATTCACTTTGTTATACAGCAGCAACTAACACAACATTGAAAAGCAATTATACTCCAATAAAGATATTAAAAAAGAAAAGAAAAGGCATCCTGGTGGGAACTGGACCCAACAGCAGTTAGGGATATCCTCAAGGGAACACCAGAGAAGCTCCATTTAATCCTTAAGCAGCAGCAAGTAAGACAGAGTAGCAAGACAGAGACTTGCTTCACTCATTTGGCGAATATGGGCTGAATGCCTACTAAAAGCCAGGCTCTGTTCTATGTGCTGGGGATATAGTGCCAAAGAAGAGACACAAGACAGGCAAAAATCCCTGCCTAGAAAAACAAAACAAAAACCCAGATGGTTGCTTAACTAGTGGGTGGAAGTTCAATGAGAAATAGGATATGTACACTGTCTCAAAATGTCTCCCACAAATTTCTTATTAATTACAAAGGGGAAAATGGTAACTTTATAGTAGAGAAATCTGACAGATACCACCTTAACCTCATCAGTAATGGGACAATCCATCACCATGTGCCTCCTGATGTGATGCACTGAGGAGACCACAATGTCACTTCTGTGGTATTCTAGCCAAAATGCACAACCTGGGTCTTATCATGAGAAAATACAAGGCAAACCCAAATTGAGGGGCATTCCAAAAAATAACTGGTCTGTACTCTTCAAAAATGTCATTGTTGGGCTTCCCTGGTGGCGCAGTGGTTGAGAGTCCGCCTGCCGATGCAGGGGACATGGGTTCGTGCCCCGGTCCGGGAAGATCCCACATGCCGCGAAGCGGCTGGGCCTGTGAGCCATGGCCGCTGAGCCTGCGCGTCCAGAGCCTGTGCTCCGCAACCGGAGAGGCCACAGCAGTGAGAGGCCCGCGTACCGCAAAAAAAAAAAAAAAAAAAATGTCATTGTTATGACAAAGGAAGACTGAACAACCTTTCCAGATCTAAGAAGACTGAAGAGACGGCAACTAAATGTAATGTGTGATGCTGGACTGTATCCTGGATTGGGGCAAAATTGTCATAAAGAATCCTACTGGGCTATCATGGATGTATCTAAACAAGGACTACTGTTGAGGTGATAGTATCATAAAAATTTTAATTTCCCAAAACTTGATAGTATGTATTCTGGTTATACAAGAGAATATCTTTCTTCTTCAGAAATACACACTGAAGTGTTTAGAGATAAAGGGGTATGGTATCTCCAACTAACTCCAATCTCAAATGGTTCAAGAAAAAAAATGTGTGAGCCTGTGTGTGTGTGTGTGTACACATATATGTACATATACAGAGAGAGAGAGGGAGCATGTGCTCACACACGAGAGGGGCACATCCTGTAACAAATGTTAACAACTGGTGAATCTGGGTGAAGAGTACACAGTAGTTCTCTGTACTACTCTCCCAAAACTTCTATAAGTTGTAAATTACTTCAAAGTAAAAAGTTAAAACTTAACAGACAAATGTTCGCCATTACATCTCCCAGGCCACCACGCACATTCTCTTCCCACCTGCTGTCCTGAGGCTCCTGTGTCTTTCTCTAGATTCTCCAGCACTGTCACTGCATCTTCCCCGCTCTCCAGAGGATACACCTGCACCCAGGCCTGGAGCTCCTGGGGCAGGATGGTCAGGAACTGCTCCAGCACCAGCAGCTCCAGGATCTGCTCCTTGGTGTGGGTCTCCGGCCGCAGCCATTGATGGCAAAGTTCTTGGAGCTGGGCCAGAGCCTCCCGGGGCCCGGTTACCTCCTGGTAGCAAAACCGCCGGAAGCGCAGGCGGCAAAGCTCCAGAGTGTGGGAGCTGCTGTCCTGTGAGCTGCACATCTGCTCCCATGTGGGATCTTCCTCCTTCACTTTCACAAGGCTGTCTCCATTCTCAGGAGCGGGGCCTGGCGAAGCTTCATCCATGTTGACCTTAAAGGCTAGAAAAAGGTTCACTTAGCTGAGGTCTATGCTCCAGAAATGTTTTTCCAAATGTACATCTGAAGCATAAGAATTGATCAGTAACATAAAAATTATAAGAGCTTCAAAACTCTATGTAACATACTTATATTTTTGTCCCCACTCTAAGTGATGCTCAAAAACTGAGACTGCTTGTCAATATTATCAGTGAAATTAATGAGAAGTCTACCTTGAATCCTAAGGGAGTTGAGCCCAGAGGCAAGGGATGTAAGGTAAGGGACACCAGGGAAGAAGGGTTAACAATAAGAATGCTTGAGCAGCTTATACTTTAGATGGAGGGAAGGGATAATTTGATCCATGGAGGAGCCAGATGGCTGCCTTTATGGACAGATTAATATACCCTTAAAGTTCATCTATCTCTGCATATTTCTCACAGAATACTCCACCTTAAATGTAGGTGAGGTAGACTGTTTCCAAAGCCTCCATTCCCTAAAACCTGTTATGATGAGATTTTGTCACTTTTCTCATCATGAGGTGGAGTCTACTTTTCCTTCCCTTGAGTCTGTGCTGACCTGTGACTTGTTTTAACCAATAGAATATGGCAGAAATGACAATGTAAGAGGAAGTGCTCTTGTAGTGCCAGACACACAGCCATGAGACTTCCATGCTGTGAGAAAGCCCAAGCTAGCCATGCAGAGGTCACGTGGAAGAGAACCACGGAGCCCCAGCTGGGCCCAGTCCCCAGCTGATTGACCAGCAGCCACATGAGTAACTCCAGTAATACTGCCCAGTCAACCCATAGAATCATAAGAATAAGCTGAGGTTGTTTTAAGCCACTAAGTTTGGGGCTTTATTTTTTTATGTAACAATAGATAACAAACAGTAGAAACACTTCAACTTCTGTTTCTCTTCTCACCTGTTCCTTTTGTGATCTCAATCAAAATTCAATATGTCTCTATTCTAAGAACACTTAAATCTCTGTCTGGCTCTGACTTGCCTTTCGTATTCCAAACTCACATCTTGGGCCTCTCCTGCACTGTAATTTCAACACATCCCAAACTGAAATCAGAGTCCCCTCAAAGCTGCACTCACTCTGTATTTTCCAGTTTCTACTGGCATCACCACCACCTTCCATGCATTCAGGCTCAAAACCAGCTTACATATATTATATATAATCACCCTGAGTCCAGTCAACTCTTCCTCCACAACGCCTCTTGCAGCCACTCCTTCCTTTTTACTCCTGCTTTACGATTTACATTCACTATTACAATAATTTTCTGTGTGGTATTCCTGCCGCACCACACACTCCATCATCACTGGATTGATATTTCCTAAAGCACAATTCGAAACATATTCGACACACCTGTCCCACCAAAAAGCGGGTTGAACTAAATTCAAACTCCCCAGGATCTGATCTTAACTGAGTTTGACTTGTGTGTTTGTCACTCGATAAACATTTATCAAGCACGTCGTTTTCCAAGCATAACGCTAACCCCATAATAAAAGACATAGACCCTACCTCCAAGAAAGCCATCGTCTTCCCAAATGCCTCGTAACACTGCCAGCTGATACTCAGATTTGTTCCACCAACCTTGTAGTTTATGGCCACGACCAGTCTTCTAACAGTATATTCCCAAGGCTCCGTGCAAATGCCACCCCCAAACCTAATGTACAGACAGTCTTCTGTCCTCTGAGCCACTCAGGTGGAGGGTGTTCCCATGGAAGTGAGCCCAAACCTGCCTCACCAACCCATTTCCCTCTCCAACCCGCATTACGGATCACACCCCGCACCACCGCCACCACCCCTGCCCCTTGAGGACAGGGGTTTATCTTTGCATGACCTCAGCGAGCCCAGGCTTACCTGGTATTCAACAAATACTGGCGGACGTCTTGCCGGAGGCACGTAGATGTACTGGGATGTCGGTAGCCGGGACCTGCGACGGGCCCAGAACGCATCTTACTGCGATTGCCCCCCAGCTCCTAGCGTTTGGCATATAGCGGGCACTCGGTGAGTGTCTAATTGCTGGTTAACGGACCAAAAGTTCAAGGAACATGCACAACGAAGACATGGCCGACCCAGTGAAAAGCCCCACCGGAGGGCGGAGGCCCGGCTCTCCACAGTCGGGATGAGCCAGTCGCCTGTCCCCGCAGGGCCCGGGCGTCTGCCGCTTCCGGCCGTCGGACCCGGGGTCAGATTTCCCCTCCTGCCGCGCGAGCAGCCGAACCTCAGCCCGGCCCGCTCCATGCCTCTCTAGGAATGCGGCCGCACGTCTCACTGGTGCGCTTGGCGGACCCCCGCAGCCCCCGCCCGCCCTGCTCAGTTGCTGAGTCCCCACCAGGCCATGGGGATGTTCCCAGCCTGCCCCTCATTTTTGCAATCATTTCAATTAAAAACCAACTCGATGATGAAGACAAAACTGAGTTTCTGTCTTTAGAGTCCTCACAGGCTGCTGGGGGAACAGATTAATAACGATTACAATACAGCAAGCAGCACAAATTTTAAAAACTTAAATATACAGATCATATATGTACAATTAAAACACAAGGTGCATAGAAACTATAAAATGAAAAGTATCCCACTCCCCATTTAACCATTGTTAATATTTTGTGTATATCTTCCCAGGACGCTAACAGCCACATAGTAGCGCTCATTAAACATCTGTTTAATAAGTATGTATTTTAAAACACCTCTGGCATCACAATGTAATTTTGCACCTTATCTTTTTCAGTTAAGAAAGCTTGGAGATCTTTCCATACCACTTTATCTTTTAACAGCTAATTAGTATTCCATTGTATGAGTTAATTTACTTAACTATTCCTACTATATTTTTTCTTTGTTAAGTAGAGAACACCATTGAATATCTTTACATGGTTTTATGAGTATATTTCTGGGGTAAATACTACACACTGAAATTTATTTGTCAAAGGGCATGTGCATTTAAATTTTGATATACAGCTCCCTTATTTAATTTTTAAGGGCACTGCTGTTTAAGAGTAAAAGGAGAATCTAATAGAATAATTCAGCCAAGGTGAACATGGCGGTTCAAAATCAGAATTAACATGTTACTTACCAACCAATTAACATGTGAAAAGACTTTCAATTTTGACAGTAAAACTATTCTTTAAAAACTCTTTAAAAAGCAGACCCAGGGGGCTTCCCTGGTGGCGCAGTGGTTGGGAGTCCGCCTGCCGATGCAGCGGATGCCGGTTCGTGCCCCGGTCTGGGAGGATCCCACGTACCGCGGAGCAGCTGGGCCTATGACCCATGGCCGCTGGGCCTGCGCGTCTGGAGCCTTGCTCCGCAACGGGAGAGGCCCGCGTACCGCAAAAAATAAAAAAAAAAAAGCAGACCCAGGGACCTCCCTGGTGGCGCAGTGGTTAAGAATCTGCCTGATAATGCAGGGGACCCGGAAGATCCCACATGCCGCGGAGCAACTAAGCCTGTGCTCCACAACTGCTGAGCCTGGCTCTAGAGCCTGTGAGCCACAACTACTGAGACCACATGCCACAACTACTGAAGCCCATGTGCCTAGAACCCATGCTCTGCAACCAGAGAAGCCACCGCAATGAGAAGCCCGCACACCGCAAGGGCAACGAAGAGTAGCCCCCGCTCGCCACAACTAGAGAAAGCCCACGCGCAGCAACGAAGACCAACGCAGCCAATAAGTAATTAATTAATTAAAAAAAAAAAAAGACCCAAACAGAAATGGCTGACCAGTAGAAGATACTGCTGCAATACAGTTAGTCTTCCTGGACTTCTGCTCTCTGAAAAGATTTTTAACTGCCTTTTAGGGTGTCTAGGATGTCTTACATTGCAAGCAAAACCCCAGTCAAGATCTGTTATAACATTTGCCCTTTGTTCAACGTTTCTATAATTTTCAGGAATAAATAAGGAAAACATGTTATTTAAATATATCTGTATCCAAAATTTTGCCCAGGTGGTTATGGATCTGCCCCAGGGTACAGATGAGAACACCATTTCCTTTGGAACCATAAGGAAGAATTAGGTTAAGGTGTCAATGAACTTAGAATGCTTATAATACCTATACTATGGAATCATCATGAAAAGAGAAAGCCAAAATAAATTTTCCATATATTTAAGGTATATATCAATTGTTCATACTTTGAATCTTTTAATTATCTTTGCTTTTTAATGAGAATAATAAAGATATTCCATGTTCTTTCCTTAAACTGAACAGAATCAAATAGATTTAAACTATGACATGGAGCTAAATGTTTAGGTACAAACCTCAGCACACCCATCAAAACTCTTGGAAAATCCCTGTTATCAACTTAATTTTACTCATAAAGGCAGAATAAAGACACATACCTTTATGGTTTCCTAAGCAATGGAACATGACTGACTTTCCATGAAATTCTTTAATTTCTCAAAAAATTACAGCTGCTTCTCCTGCTGATTTGGTCCTCCTCCAGATAATGGTATTAACTGTTGCTCTGCTCAGCTTGCATCCACTCAGATCCGAGTGGGAAGTGGGCCAAAGACTCCTAAGTGCCAGGCACCTCCCCGGTGACGCAGTGCTTAAGAATCTGCCTGTCAATGCAGGGAACCCTGGTTTGATCCCTGGTCCAGGAAGATCCCACATGCCGTGGAGCAACTAAGCGCACGCCTAGAGCCCATGTTCCGCAGCAAGAGAAGCCACCACAATGAGAAGCTCACCACAACAAAGAGTAGCCCCCTCTCCTCAACTAGAGGAAGCCCGCGCGCAGCAATGGAAGACCCCACGCAGCCAAAAATAATAAAAAAAAAATCTATATCTATATAAAAGGCCCCCAAATGCCTATTTCAGCCTTCACTCTCCCCTTTACTCTTAGTGACAGAAGACTGATTTTCAGCTGGGCATTCTGCAACCCAGAATAAGACACACTTTCCAGCTTCCCTTTTCTAAGATTTGGCCTATGATACAACCGCTGAAGTGATTTACAGGAAGGCTGCTTAAAGGGAGCTGACTGACCAGGAGGAGTCTCTTTTGTCCTTCTGCCTTTTGTCCACATTTTGCATGTGATGGCTGGAGCTTCAGCAGCCATCAAGGATGATGACCTTAAGGAATGATGGCATGAAAGGCAGAAGCTGGGTTCCCTAGTGATGTCATGAAACCACCTTACCAGTGCTGGACTGCTGTCTCTGGCCTTTTCTATTTAAGAGAAAAACGAACTTTTATTACATCATTCCCACTTTTTTTTTGTTGTTTTTAAACTATACTCAGCTGAACAGAAACCTCAGCAAAATATGAGGACTCACCAGTCTTCCCACTCACGTGACAGAGTGAGAAGTACCCCAAGCAGCTACCACCAATCAGCAAGTGATGTTTATCATCCTGGTGATATATTCAGAAGTGGACTTCCCTAAGCTTAATATTCTTCATCATTACCATGACATTTTGGCATTCACAACATGAAGATCATGATCTCTTCCAAGCTGTTTTTCTGATTTGACTTTCAAGATTCCAGAACAAGCAGCATTTTAAAATTCTGTCCTCAGTATTAAAGGAAAAAAGTCCAATTTCTTTCCCCATTTTTTGAAGTTTCTATGCAGCAGCCACTATACTGACACTGGAGTTATGAAGTAAGACAGTTGCTACTTGGATTAATTCAGCCCAGTTCATTCAAATGGCTTATGAAATCTCTTCCATAGTCTAAATAAAACCTTACTCTCTAACTTGAATCAATGAGGTATTATGGCAGGGATGGGGCTGCGAAAGGTAAAATTAGATCATCTTTGCTTTCCAAAATGCTGATTGGGGGTAAGGAAGGAGAGGATAATGCTAAGGGCAGGCAGGGTAATAAAACCAGTGGGCGAAAATGTTTACCATTAACCTGTGCTTTAAGATACCTTTGAGTGTCATATATTTCCAAACGTCATTGGTTTTATTGTATAGGAGTCTGTTGCTGTAGCATATGCGAAAATATCAACCTGCTCTTTTTCTGTTTAAGCCTGTAAATCTGTGGACACTTGATTCATTGCTGACTTAAAGCCCTCACTCAATCATGAGGCTCTCTACTACTTGGAGATGCATAGCTATGCATTTAGCATGCTAAAGGCTCTGAGAAGTCCTGCAGTAAAGAATGCTATTTACCTTTGATCCCCCAGGGTCTAGGGTGAAAATTACTGTGGCCCAAAGCTGACAACAAGGAAAACGAAGGAAAGAGAGAGGAGGCAGATAGCCTCCAATTTGGTCCCCAAGAGTTCTCTGCCAGAGTTGGCTAGAGTGCCTTTCCTGAAGTGCCGGCTTGCTTGTTAATGTACTGTCTCTGATGGTCCGTAAGGAGAGGACACCTCATCAAGCCTGTTTGTCTTTGTGGTGATATCTCTGATGTTGAAAAAGACCTGACCTCTGTCTGAAGGCTTCTCCACATTCATTACACTTGTACGGTTTTTCCTCGTTGTGGATTCTCACGTGCTGAGTAAGGTGTGAGTTTAGTCGGAAGGCTTTCTGGCATATGGTACACTTGAAAGGTTTTTCTCCAGTGTGAATCCTGTGGTGTCGAATAAGGTCTGAGGTCAAACTGAAGGCTTTCCCACACTCGTTACACTGATGGCTTTTGGAGTGGCTGTGGATTCTCTGATGGTGGGTGAGGAGTAGGGCCTGACTAAAGGTTTTCCCACACTCCTTGCACTCACAGGGCTCCTCCTGACTGTGAATTCTCTGGTGTCGATTAAGGTGAGAGCTGCGCCGAAAGTTCTTTCCACAGTGGATACACAGGTAAGGTTTCTCTCCAGTATGGATTCTGAGATGTTCCAAAAGGCCTGCATTCTGGCTAAAGACTTTTTCACACTCCTTGCACTGATAAGGCTTCTCGCCAAGATGGATTTTCTGATGTCTGACAAGGTGTGAACTTCTCTGAAAGGTTTTCCCACACTCATGACACTGATGACCCTTCTCTCTAGAGTGGATTTTCTGATGTCCAGTAAGACTAGAACTCTGACACACTTCAGATTCACAGAGCTTTTCTCCCCTGTGTGAACCTTCATGCTTAATCAGGTCTGAGTGCTGGATGAACCCCTCCCCACATTCTGAGCATTTATAGTCAGTCTTCTCCTTGGCCTTGGCCTGCTGCCTATCCAAGTTAGAGTCCTCATAATAAGCCTCTTTGGGTTCAGATATTTTCCCAGATGATTCCACTCCTCCACAGGAGTCTGTCTCTACAACCAGCTTCCCATTCTCAATCCTTGTCTCCTCACCTGAAACATTAAATATATACCACCAGTTACTTGTTTTTTGGTGCTTAGGGAAAGGAATCTACAATTAGGAGGAAAAAAATTGAATCAAGCCATGTGTGCAAAGTGGAAATGTTGTGGGTGCTGGTGTTTGCATAGAACATACATGCAATGATACATAAGAAACTGTTTAACAGTGGCTGCCTTTGGGGGATTATGGTGAGAGGCAACTTATTTTAAATGGTTTGAGGTTTATCATGTGATACGCACATCTATACATACATACACACAAACAGAAATTAGCAAGCAAGCAAACTGTCATAAAGGGCATGGCTGTATATTCTTGATAATGGCCTCATGTGGAAAATTAGAAAGCTAGGTCAACTGAGTACCCTGGGGCCAATAAGAAAGGGCTAGCACCAGAAATGAAGAAATAAACTGGAAATGAAGACATGCAGACGTGGTGCCAATTTTATCATGATTAACTGCATAATCTTAGGTAATTCCTCTGGGCTCAGTCTCCTCACTAATAAATCAAAAACACTGGGCCACAAGGCCTTGAGGGTAACATGAAGTCCACAAAAATGTCTTAGCCTTTCCTGATCTCCTTGGATGGCAGTAACTGCTTTCCTGTGTGGTTCAGTGGAGCTATTATATCTCAGTGCTGTAATAATTTGCTTATATGTCTGGAACATAAGACATATAAGCAAATTATAACAATGTGTGCTGAATAAAACCTTAGCTCAGACACACAGGGAAGAGGGTGAGAGGGAAGAGTAGATAGGATAAGTCTTTTAAGTCCAGGAGCCTGAAAGGGGATGCAAAGTCAGAATGAGAGAGGAAAAGGGGAGATGGATGGAGAAAACAGAAGAGGGAGCATCTAAGCAGCACTCATAACAAGCAAATGAGGGTTACCCCGTGTAAGCAAGATAAAGGCAGCAGATCATTTAATGAGTGAGAGTAGATGAGAAAGTGAAGGGTGTGGGAAGGAGACATCAGGGAAAGTAAAAGCACATGTGGGAGAGGGAAGATTAAAAACATGTACTATGTGTAAAGGCCTTTTGCAAGAGGATGAAGTAGGCTCCATGGGGGAGGGAGTGAGAGTTAAGGGATGAGAACAAGAGAAGTTCTTTTCCAGTGATTTTATAATGACATACACAACTAAAAGGGGAGGCAGGGGCCTCCAAAACTGAAAAACAACCTGAACTTGAATATAAAATAATGGGGCTTCCCTAGTGGCGCAGTGGTTAAGAATCTGCCTGCCAATGCAGGGGACACGGGTTCGAGTCCTGGTCCGGGAAGATCCCACATGCCATGGAGCAACTAAGCCCGTGCACCACAACTACTGAGCCTGCACTCTAGAGCCCACAAGCCACAACTACTGAGCCTGCACACCACAACTACTGAAGCCCGCGCACCTAGAGCCTGTGCTCCGCAACAAGAGAAGCCACCACGATGAGAAGCCCGTGCACCGTAACGAAGAGTAGCCCCCACTCGCCACAACTAGAGAAAGCCCGCATGCAGCAACGAAGACCCAACGCAGCCAAAAGTAAATAAATAAATAAAAGAAGAATATAAAATAACATTTTCAACAGATCTAGAGGGTAAGGAACAGTTTCAAGGATCTACTATTGCTAAATCTACTTTTCATACTTAAACACCCATCACTGATTACACGGCATAAATTCATTTCTGCAAGGCTGTTTAGAAAAGGTAGGCCTCTCTCTTTCAGTGACTTTACTCAGAAAGCTTCCAGAAGAAGAGGACTTTTGAAGCAGACTCAGAAATTGAGCAGGGGGAGTAGGTAGTAGGTAAAAGGAGCCTTTAGAATTGAAATCAGCCATTCATCAAATAGACATTTACTGAAGGTCTACTCTAGTCCAGGGACAGTAGCAGACTCAGGAAACAAAACAAAGCCCATGCCCTTTTGGTCTGGTGGGAGAAAAAGAGAAGTAAACCAGCAACTCTAATATAATACGATCAGTTCCGTGGTAGGAGAAAACTTGGAGCTCTAGCAGCAGAGGTGGGGAAACTGATCCAGACTTGGAGAAATTAGGGAAGGACAAAGAAAGTGATATCTGAGCTAGGTCCTGAAGGATGAGGAGGAATTAGCCAGGGAGAGTGAGGAAAAAGTATTCCAGACAGAAGAGGAGCAAATGGGAAATGGAATGCAACTCAACATGAGGGGAACACACAGTGTGATCAGGTGGGACAAAGGGTGATTAATTAGCCCAATGTGTCTAGGACTGAGGGGTTTCCCAGCACATGCAACAGCTGGAGCTAAAAGTCGCAAGCAAATCGGAGCAAGCTGGTGATGCTAGTGGACATGGGGCTGCAAGGTCTGCAAATGCCAGAACATGCCGTGTGAGGCCTTTGTTAAAGGCTATTGGGAGTCACTGAAGGTGGTGGGTTGGTTTTTATTTTTTACTTTTTATTATGGAATTTTTCAAACATCAAAAAAAATTGAAAGAATAACATTACTTAGCTCACTGAAGGGCTTTAACGAGGAGAGCAACATTAATGAATGTGTTTAAATGACAGAGAATGAACAGGAGGTAATTTAACTTCAGTGGAAGCACTAAAATGACAGACAGTAAAACAAAAAGAGAAGCAGGGCTTGTATCAGACTGGAAAGAGGAGAAAATGAAAGGGATAGAAATTAGAAAGAGAAATTCAGAGTCAACGAAAATATGGTAGAGCAAAATAAAATAATTCAGGTAACATTTAGAAGTAAAAGACAGTAGTCGTTTACAGTAATTTGAATGTGGTAAGAAAAAATGAGTAATGAATCATGTGGCTGGAATTCTTTGCCTTGGGTAAGAAACTAGCACTCCTTTTTTAATTCACCCCGACAGTAATGGGGAGAAGAGGAAGGTGAACGTCTACACAGGAGAAGCATTCAGTTTTAACTGAACAAAAAAAAACCCCAGGGCTTCCCTGGTGGCGCAGTGGTTGAGAGTCCGCCTGCCGATGCAGGGGACATGGGTTCGTGCCCCGGTCTGGGAAGATCCCACATGCCGCGGAGCGGCTGGGCCCGTGAGCTATGGCCGCTGAGCCTGCGCTCCAGCAACAGGAGAGGCCACAACAGTGAGAGGCCCACGTACCGCAAAAACAAAACAAAACAAAAAACACCCAAACTAGAAACATCCAAAAACAGAAAGAAGGATTAGGGGAAAAGGAAATGTCTGGGGTGATGGAAACTTTTATATCTTGATTGTGGTGATCATTAGACAAGTACAATTATTTCATGTTTGTGAAAAGTCATTGGCCTGTACACTTACAAAGAGTGAATTTTACTGCATGTAATTTACACCTCAGTAAACCTGACTCAAAACAAGAATAAGACGCAAAATGCCAAGTGTGCTGAGCAGGGCCTCGGGTGCGGGGGGGACCATGAAGCCCACCACATCTCACATGCAGGAAGATGCAGTCTACTTCTTACCCTTCTGTCTCTTGGGCTTGGGAATTTCACCCTCAGGCTGGACCTGCTGCTTCAGCACTGCTTTCAGAGGGGCCGTCTCCTCCACAAGCATTTTCTGTTTCTTTGCCTGGTTTGGGTCCTAGGGATGATTAGGTACACGTGGGTTTAGGAGGAAACTGCTGTTCAGAAAAACACTTCCATGTTAGAAAAGAGAGCGAAGAGAAACCACAGAAGGGCAAAGAAAAGAGGCTGGAGAAGCTGGAGCACATTCAGTTTCCTCCCACCAGAGACAGGTAAGGCTGAGGTAAGACCTTCAGCAATGAACAGCCAGACTGAAAAGAAACTGAACCAAAGCTTAGCGATTCTCCCACTGGTGAGCTCATGGCCACCGCTCTGGCCAGAGGTCTCAATTCCTGCTTTCCTACAAAAGAGCACATCTGACCCTTACCACCTGTTGTTCTGTTCCTCTCAGTTCTGGCTGCAAATCCTCCAGTACAACAACCACATCTTCCCCACTCTCTGGGTGATGCTCCCGCACCCGGGCCTGCAGCTCCTCGGGCAGGATGGTCAGGAGCTGCTCCAGCACCAGCAGCTCCAGGATCTGCTCCTTGGTGTGGGCGTCGGGCCGCAGCCACTGTCGGCAGAGCTCCCGGAGCCGGCTCAGCGCTTCTCGAGGTCCTGTGGTCTCTTCATAGCGCAACTGCCTGAACTGTTTGCACAGTGGCTCCTGCCCGAGGCCTGCGCCGTTTCCTTGCAGCTTGGCCCCCTGTTCCCGAGGAGAGCGGTTATCCTCCTTCACTAAGTGAAGTCCCTCCTTCTTCAGATTCAGAGGAGCCAGGGAAGGAGTGGTTACCAATGCTGTTGCCATCCCCAGCTTCAGACTGCTCTCTCTGTTCTGGAGAACTTTCTTTTGACTGCCTCCTCAGGGATACCCCTGAAAATGTAATAACAAGAATCACAGAAACAGTAATAGTATAGTAGTAGTAATGATAATAACAACAATAGCAACACCCCTTTGTTGGGTTTATACATTTCCAATAATTACTATCCTTTTTTTTTTCTCTCTGAAACAACCATACAAAATGAGAAGACTGTTTTACAGAAGACTACCAGCTAACATAGCAGGAATAACAGATTTGAAAAAATCACCATTTTGTAGCCCTTGAGGAAATAACTGTTTCAATCAAGGACCACAAATGGGTGAAATCATTGGGTGAAAGGAGTAGGGGGAAAGGACAAGCTTATAGTCTCAGAGAATCACCACACTGATTGCTTATGAATTACAAGGGGAAGAGTGAAGCTATCTGGCAGTCACAAACTTAATCAAATGAAACCTAGTAACACCAACAGCAAGACAACTGAGCTTGTGCCTTATCACTTAGGTAGCATTTTTACTAAAAGTGTTTAACATGAATCTAACAATGAGGAAACTTTCAGATAAATCCAGAATGTCCAGAATGCAGCTTCTCTACAATAGGCATGTACTCTTCCAAACAATCAATATCGTGAAAATAAAAAGAAGGTGTGGGGAAGGTATTTTTCTAGATTAAAGAGATACAGCAAAATGCAATGTGTGAAATTTGCTCTTAAGTTAAAAAAAAGATACAAATATGTTTTGAAGAATTCAGAAATCTGAATATGAATAATATATATATATGCAAACTATGGCCCAGCCGACCAAATAGGGCCCAAAGGCTGTTTTTGTACATAAAACTTTACTGGAATACAGCCAAACCCATTTGTTTAGATAGTGTTTACATCTGCTTTCACAATACACTGCAGGACTGAGTACTTGAACAATGGCGCACTGACCCCTGTGTAGTCAAAAATCCGTATACTACTTACTATTTCTGCCTCAAACACAAAAGGAACTGGTAGATGACCCAGGGTAGGAAGCTGAAACAGCTTGGATAGGATCAGGATTCAAACTCTAGTTCTTTTGACTCCACATATTGTGATCTCTAATCAAACACAAACTTTTCCCCACACTTAAAGATCTATAAAATGAAAACACAGGTATTGATACTATTGATATATTTATTGAAAAAATCCGCACATAAGTGGACCCATGCAGTTCAAACCCTTCTGTTCAAGGGTCAACTGTAGTTGCCATAGAGATCGTATCACCTGCAAAGCTCAAAACATTTACCATCTGGCCCTTTACAGAAAAAGTGTGTAGATCTTAAGAGTTTTCTCAGGTGGTCACGTAAGAGAATATCCTTATTCTCAGGAGATGGTACTAAAACTTATTTTCAAATGTTTTGGGGAGGGGGGATTATGGGGGGCGGTGTGTGGAGAGAGAGAGAGAACACAAATGTAGCAGGAAGTTCACAGCTGCTGCTATATGAGGGGTATATTGTATTAATTATACTACTCTTTCAAATTTTCAGTAGATTTGAAAATTCTCCAAATGTTGAGAGGGGAAAAAAGACACAAAATGAGTAAAACTGCTTGTAGGTTCATTAATTAAAGCCAGTTTCAGAATTAACTAAAAGAATATATGGATATTCATAACTCATCTTATTTACAGATTGTCTACAATGTGCCAGACTCTCTTAGTTGCTGAGACACAGAGATAAAAGAACTCCTTGGCCTTTACAGCTCTCTGCTCCGTAAGAAATCTCAAGTGAATTAGCAGGTCAGAAAAGGCTTTCTGAAGCCCCCTGCCCCCACCCTGGCCCCTTGCAGGTCTGCGGGACTAAGCGTCTAGGAGGCGCACTCGTGGCAAGAATCAAGAGCAGGAGGCAGCGAGGATAGGTCCAGGAAAACGGAGAAGTGGAGCAGCCTGTGCAGAATGCAGAGCAAGACCGCCCTTTGGGAGGGGGCGAAGGCCACCAGCCAGCAGGAAATAATAGACAGGGACAGGCTCGCCGACTTGCCCCTAATTTCCCATGGCCCATACCCAAGAGGCAGGTCAACGATGGGATGGGTGGAGATGGAGATGATATGGAAATGTTCATGGAGATGAGAGAAATCAGGAGAAAACTTAGGGAGCTGCAGTTGAGGAACTGTCTGCGTATCCTTATGGGGGAGCTCTCTAATCACCATGACCATCATGATGAATTTTGCCTTATGCCTTGACTCCTGCCATTTTCCACGAGATTAATACTGTGATTCCCATTTTCATTCTCCTTTTCCTTACATTTTCCTGATATGCCTTTACTGATCCGTTTGCTGTGAACCTTATGTAATTTCCATGTGTCAGGTGGGTTCTGTGTTACCAGCTTCTCACTGGAGGTTGCCTGGGCACCCAATCTAAGTTTCTGTCAACAGTAGAGTTTCACCCATTTGCATGGGAAAATGTAAAGCTAATAAAGCAATTAAATAGCAAAAAAAAAAAAAAAAAAAAGAAAGAAAAGGTTTTCTGGAGGTGAGTCCTTCTGACTCTTACAAGACAAGTGAAAGTTAGGCAAGAAAATCGGGAAAGGGTTTTTCAGACAGAAAAGTCTGAGCACAGAACTGTTGGAAAACCTCACATGTTCAGGGTAGTTGTTAGTTACGGCTGGGAAAAGGCTAAGTGGGCTGGAACCCTGGGAAACACCTACATGTAAGGAAGAGAAGTAAGAAGGAACAACTGCAGAGGTAGGAAAACAAGGATAGTAGTATCTAGAAGGCCAAGGGGATCTGTTTCTGTAAGTGTGGAGTGATGGAAAGAGCCTGGGCCTCAGACAGGCCTGGGTTCTAGTCTAGCTCTGTCACTTACACTGTTTGTTTACTCATTTGTAAAATGAAGGTAATATCTAATTCACAGAGATGTTTTGAGGTAAATGAGATAATAATTGTAAAGAATAGTAACTAAATAGTGGTACAGCTCTTTTAGAATTTGTTTAGCAGGTTTTCTGGTCCGCACTGGAACATCCCCCCACCCCCAGAAAAAGAATAGCAACTGACTGATTTATAACTGGAATTATAAAGAGGCAGTGTTCGAGAGTGAAATGTTATAGGAAGGTGCGTTCACCTACGAACTGACATATGCACTTAATTAAAAAACAAAGAGGTCATTGTGACCTCTGTGAAGGCAATTCTGGTCATGGGATAGGGAGGACAGTCACCTTGCCACAGGAGAATGAGAAAATGGCAAGAGTAAGCAAAAATTACTTTCAAAAAATAGGACATTGAAAGGAAGGAGAGAAATAGGACATAAGATAGGAGGGGGTAATGTAGAGGACAGGTATGTCTGTAAGTTCAATTACTATCTTTATGCTGATGACTTCTTTATTTTTCAGCCCAGATACATCAAGAGTGCCAGATCTATATTTCCTTCTGGCTATCTGGTTTCTGGATACCTTACAAAAGCCTTTCAAACCCAACATGTCAAAACTGAACTCAGAGAATTCCACCATCGTCCTTTGAAACAGGCTCTTGGTATGTGTAGAGTGAGCATTCTTGATTTTGACAACTCTTGAGTGACTCTAGAAATCAGTGACTAGTGTCTGCCAATTGCTGGCACACACTTCTGAACCAATATGCGTGAGGCTCAGTTAGTGGCTGTGGTCAGTTAGGTTCCAAATTCCAAATATATAACAGCTAGCTGAAAAATATCACCCAGCTGTTATATATTCCTGGATGTGTATTAGAGTAGCACTCCCAGCTGATATTTTTCTGTCAAAAATGGACTTATAATTCAAAAAGCCAATCCTGCTGCAGTTGACCCTTGATACATGGATTTTTTTTTTTTTCCAATAAATAGGCTGAATCTGCAGTTGGCTGAATCTGCGATGCGGCCTTGTGAATACAGAGGACTGACTGTAAAGTTATACTCAGATTTTCGACTGCACTGGGGGTAGGAGCCCTTAACCCCGGCATTGTTCAAGGGGCAATGGAACTCTTAATGAAACTGAAAAAAAAAGTCTGCGAAAGTAATGATTCTTAGACAGAAAATAAAAATGGTTAATTTTATGTGACAACTTGACTGGGCCACCGAGTACCCAGATATTTGGCCAAACATTACTCTCGTGTTTCTGTAAAGGCGTTTTTGGATGAGATTAACATTTAAATCAGTCGACTGAGTAAAGCAGATCGCTCTCATTAATGTGAGTGGGCTTCATCCAATCAGCTGAAGGCCATAATAGAGGAAAAAAAAAAAATGCTGACTTTCCCCTAGTAAGAGAGAATTCTCCTGCCTGACAGCCTTCAAACTGGGACCGGCTTTTTTCCTGCCTTCCTACAGTCTGTTCTCATCATGAGTTCCCAGCTGTAGATGCTTTAAAACATGTCAGCTGTTTTTCCTTTGCTTAAAATTTTCCGACAACTCTTCACGCCAAGAAATGACCAAATTCCTTACACAATACAATGCCCACTTTTTCTACAGGCCTCCTCCCACCCCCCAATCTTTCTGATATCATCTTCTACACACTTCCCCCTTGTTCACTGCGCTCCAACCACGCTGGTCTCCCTGCTATTCCTCGAACATGTTAAGCAAGCTCCCGCTTTAGGGCCTTTGCACTTGCTGTTCCCCCCTGCTTAGAAAATTCGTACCCCCAAAGGCCACACAGATCTTTTAACCTCCCTCAGGTTTCTGCTCAAATGTTACCAAGGTTTACCTTTAATAGGTATTTAAAATTGAGCTCAGTGGATGAAAAATATGCAGCAGAAGGTTGTGCCCCAATAACTAGATCCACAGCATCATTCCCCTCCTAGGGCCCAGGATTGACACCTCTCGCCCGCCCCCGCCCCAAGTCCACACGGCCTCTCTGTCGGGTAAGGCTTCCCTGCACTTCCACCCTCAGGGAATCAGTTAATCCCCAGCCCACGGGCTGCAGTTCCTCCCCAAGCTGGGGCACAGTCACCACTCACCGCTCCAGCGACCGGCAGGAAGGGCCAAACGCTGTCAAGCCCCGTCTTAGCTCTTTGCTGATCTCCGACTCTCGCTCCGCGGTTCACTTTAGCGTCGCTCTAGGACTGCGGGAGGACCGCGGCTCGATGGCCTTCTGCTCCCGCCTCGCAGGAGGCGGCCAAGCTCCCAAAGGTTGGCTGAACGTTCTCCAAGCCCCGCAGCTGAGAGGGGCGTCCCGTTGTGCGCTTACTGTTTTTTCATTTTTTAAGCCGAAATTTATTTTATTCATGTAAAAAACGGGCCAGCTCACTTTACTGTTATCACAAGCAGCTGGCGTTCCACTTTGCTTACTCACGTAATTAAAACACGGACACATATATTACCATGTCTTCCCAATTTAAAAAGTCATCAAATACAGTGGAAAAAATAAATGTCGAAGTATTTTGAAGATTAAATTTAACAATGAACGTATATTTGTATTGAAGGGTTTAAGGTAATAAAAAATTCAGAATTGTTACAAAACGCAAGTTCGTGAGCTGGACGAACAGTGAGACCAAACCAACCAAAACGTCGGAGTCTGGAACAGAGAAAGGTTTATTGCAGGACCAAGCAAGGAGAACGCGTGGTCCGTGCTCAAAACACCCCCAACTCGCCAAAGGTTTTCAGCAAAGCATTTTTTTTAAAAGCCAGGTGACGGTGGTCAAGCTCCTGCACACTTCTCTGATTGGTTGGTGTTGCGGTAACAAGGCGGTTAACATTATCAGTTCTTAGGCGCCTGTAGGTCTGGGGGCTCATGATCATCAAGTAGTTAATTTCTTCCATTTGGTGGTAATTTTAGCATCTGTAAAACAACTCAGGAAGAATGCATCAGATACTATTATCTATGTATCTATACTTCAGAGAGGAGCCACAGCAGAGGATATGGGGGAGGTGTCTGTCCTGGGGAGGCCCCATAGGGTCCTGCTCAGTTACAGTCTATTACTATGGGAGAGAATAATCAACGATTATTCTCTGCAATGTATGGGGGTGAGGGGATGGTGTAGGGGATCATATATCACTACAAAAATAAATTCTGCAGAAGAAAACAAATATTCCCTCTCTTGCCCACCTCATCACAGACTGTATTTTTATAGTCTGTGAACAAAATAAACCCTTTAAAAAACCTGAACAAACTTTGGTTTCATCATTGATAATTTTGAAACAAATATCATACTAACCATGGTTTTATGACATAATTCATATTGTTTCCAGCCTGAAATTTTCGTAACAGGAAAGAAAAAAAAATTCTATCATCAGGAGAGTTATCTTCTCCTTGAGGGTCAGAGCTCGAAAATATCTTTTAAAAGTTAAAGTAGGGCTTCCCTGGTGGCACATGCCGCGGAGCGGCTGGGACCGTGAGCCATGGCCTCTGAGCCGGCGCGTCCGGAGCCTGTTCTCCGCAACGGGAGAGGCCACAACAGTGAGAGGCCCGCGTACCGCAAACAAAAAACAAAAAAAAAAAAAAAAAATTGAAGTAAAATATATTTACTTAAAAGCTTTTCCTGGGTTTCCCTGGTGGCGCAGTGGTTGCGAGTCCGCCTGCCGATGCAGAAGACACGGGTTCGTGACGCGGTCCGCAACGATCCCACATGCCGCGGAGCGGCTGGGCCCGTGAGTCACGGCCGCTGAGCCTGCGCATCCGGAGCCTGTGCTGCGCAACGGGAGAGGCCACAACAGTGAGAGGCCCGCGTACCACACACAAAAAACAAACTTTTCCTTAGGCTAACAAATCTAGTCAATGCAAATATTTTACTAATTAGAAGTTAATATTCTGTCCTGAAGGGAAAACATACAACTGATTTTTCAAATTTATAAATTAGTGCTTTCCCCCCAAAAAATTACGCAAGGAGTAAACAAATTTTAATTTTAAAAGGGAGTAAATGTATTCTAATTCATTTACCCGCTTTCAAACTCCCTACCATGGCTGGCTTCTTAAATGTCACTCATATTATCAAGGCTGAGATTATTGGCATTGCGTTGTTTATCCCATGAAAATAAATACACTTAATGTAGCTTGACAAACAAGAGTTTTTCAACAAAAATTCAAGGTGTGCATTTTTATGTAGTCTGTTTGTATCTTTTGGAAGGGGTAGAGGTAGAAAAGGTGAGAACAAATCAAAATGCAATTTTTACCAGGACAGAGCTACATTTCACTAATAATACGAATCAATTTTCGAACTTGAGATTTTCATTTTCCAGGATTATCCTCATTTTTGTAAACAAAACTGTCGTCTATATGTTTCCATCAGGTCCATTCATAGGATATTTAAAATAAAAGCTTCCTTTTCTATATGATCAGAGGCACTGTTGCATTACAGCCATGAGTTACAAGTATCCCAGTAGCATGTAAAATTCTTTGATGGCAGGGATCAAGCCTAACTTGCTGTTTGGTCTATCCCTAATATCTGCTATAGTGCCTAGCACATAGAAAGCACTTATAAATATCTTCCCTTTGATTCAATAATTCCACTTCTAGATGGCCATTTTTAGATGACCCAAAGGACTTTTGACCCAATAATTAATTCTATTTCTAGATGAGTATGATACAGATAATACTCTCATACATCCACAAAGATTTTCACTGCAAGTATTGTATAATACCAAAATACAGAAAACATCTTAAACATTGGATAAAACATGGTTCTTCCATACAATAGAATATTATAAAGTCATTAAAAAGAGATAGATTTACATGCATTGATATAAAATATCTCCAATATATATTTAGTGAAAAAAGCAAGGTATAGATCCATCTGTATAGTGTGGTACGGTTTGTTTCTAAAAATGGAAATATACATATGTAACAAGGCGGCTTTCACCCAACTCTCTTTGGGGAAAATCTCAAGCTAGTGTGGTCCAGTGTCAATCAAGTCACATACTGGGGTAAAAGTGCCCTTCTACATCACTCTGCCCTGCCAGATTCTAGAACTGCACTCCTTCTCCTTCAGCTCTGTGGGGTTACCAGGGTCTGGAGCCTTGAAAAGGGGCTTATCCAAATTAGCTTGGTTAGCGCTGAAGTCTCAGAGTTCAGGAAGATGTCACTGGATGACAACAAAAGCCTTACCACAGAACATGAGTGGAGCTCACCCTAAAAGTCTTTTCCAGCATTGGTGCTAGCCAGTCTCTCAATGCTAACTCTCTTGCCCACCTGGTCCCACCTGATCTGATCTCCTTTTCATGAGCTCCTCCTTTATTCTCATTTTGTTCTTTCTCCTCCTAGTCTAGCTGGTGCCTAATCTACTCTTTGGAATACTCAGGCACTCTGGATCGTTATCTTTTTTATGTCTATTTTTATGGATAAATCCTATCACCCCTTCAATCAGGTACTCGGCTTCTAAGTCAAAGCCAAGCTTTTCTTCAAGAAAACTTTGGCTTTCAGCACCTGTACTCTCTAGTCTATATTTAAAAAAAAATCATTCAAAACTGTAGTGGGCATTTGTTGGTTGCCTACCCCCCCTTCCCAACATTACTCTGATTTTCACTCAGGTATCCATTCCTTGCCCATGTAGCCCATTAGGGTGACAAAACCTGCAGATTCAGGAGTAGGCCATTCTATTTCCCTTGCAACAATTCCTTTTGTGAGGAAGGGCATGTGACCTAAGCTAATCTAATTAGGCTGCATCTCGTATTCTTGTTTGGAATGCCAGGACAAAAATGTTCTCTCTTCATAGGTGGACCAGGAAAATATATAACCAAACTCAGGAACTTTGGCAGCCTTTTCGTTATTTAAGGGAAACCAGCCTGAAGAGGAAAATGAGCCAATAAACCTCTACTTTTTAACTCAGTGTTAAATGGAAACCAGAAATATACACTCAATTGAATCCTTTGTTCTTTCTGGGGTTCTTCTGGTTCTCCCTGGGGTAAATGAACGGCTCCATGAGGCAATGAAGCCCTCAAAGAGAGAAAAGTCGGAGCAACAGGGAAAAAAACAAAAAACCCTTCAGGTTAACAGATCCAATTTTTAGCCTGCAACATACATGCTTGTATATACACAGAACTTATGGACAGATATAGAAGATTCCAAAAAGAGATTTCTTTGGGGAGAAGGATCAGGGGCTGGGGTAAAAGACTTACATTTTACTGACTTTCCTCCTGTAGTGTTTGAATATTTTTAAAAACGTGCACATTTTACTTTTAGAATTAAAAATAACAAAAAATAAATTGCTAAAGAGATCTCAAAAAGCAGTTTTTTCTTGAGGAACTTATAGTAGGTACAGCAGCATCATAAAGCCTTTTAATTTTGGTCAGATAAAATTCTTAAAAGTCCAGCTATAGAACAAAAGTTATTTGTCATCTTTCCTTTTTGTCTTTCGGTACACCATCTCTCTGAAACTAGCTAGAATCTTATTCTCTCTTCCGTCTTTCTTCTTGGTTAAAGGATGCAAGGGCTCTCTTCTCATCAGCACTATAGATCTGGTTCTCTTTACGCAGTCGCACAGCCTCCATTCTGCAATGCCTGCTACCACTCATAACATAACCTAAGCATTCAAAAGAAGCAATCTCTTCACTTCTCAGCCCAATTTCACCTCTTCGTGGGATACGCTTTCCAGCTTTTACATACTCAGCCATAGCTGCACCTTCACCTGGAAGCAGAGCATGGCCGTAGTTCAAAGGTTCCTCATCTTGAGAGGTGTGTATTATAGGTGCCTCTGGACCTATTAGAGCCATGTTATCTGCAATCTTTTGACTGCTCAATCCAGATATCTTCTGGCAACTCCCCTTCTGAATCCTTACAGCTTTTGACACTGGATTCTTTTTTAGTCTTCTTCGTCTTTTTCTTGGGCTTTTTAGCTCTGTGCTTCTTTTTCTTCTCTTTCTTGGTTTTTGTTGCTCTCTTTTTATCATCATCAGAGCTAGTGTCATAGTCTGAATTACTGTCGCTATTATCAGAATATTTCCTCTGTTTTCCTTTGGACTTTTTCTTTCTTTTCTTATTTTTTGAACTACTGGCCTTTTTCCTTTTTTCTTCGGAGCGGGAACGTGAACTGCTGTTCTTCTTAGTCTTTACCTCTTCATCCTCAACTGGGGTGTGTTCACCAGAATCTGGCTCAGGAAACTCTGGAGACAGCTCCCACACCTCAGGTGCTCCCAGCTCCCACACCTCAGGTGCTCCCAACTCCCCAGTCCTTTCTCTCTCTTTCAGCCTCCCCTGACGATAGCTCTCCTCCTTCTCCTTCTCATAGTCTTCCGCCCACTGCCTGTCGCCCGCATAGTGGTGGTGATGGTAGTGGTATCCGCCATAGTAGACAGAAGAGGACGAGAAAGCGTAGTTGCGGAGCCTGGTGGGCCGCTCCCGAGATCCAGAGCGGCTAAAGGTACAAGGAGCGCCGACGCCCGACCCACCCCACTGAGGCCTGAGGCCCTCGCGGCCGCGGGAGTGCGAGTGGGATTGGGAACGGCTCCCCCACGGGGATGGTCTGGTCTGCGCGGAAGGCAGGCTCCCCGACGAGCTGCGTCGCCGTCTCCTAGAGGCTGGGGTGTCCTCGGGGTAGCGCGACCGGGACACTGGCACCATAAACCGCGCTTTCACAAGGGCAGTTACTACAAAGACCGGGACTGACGGCGATCCCCGACCACGCAAGCGCTCTAGCAACGGTCCGGCGCACGACTTCCGCTTCCGGCGCTTGCCAGAAGAAAACCCAATCAGCATGTGGGCTGTGAGGCCACTGTTTTGGTTGAGGCTGCGTGATGGCCTCTTCGCAAGAGCGGATAAAGGGGGCGTGGCCGCGCCTGTTGTCAGGATTTACATTCCCCATCCTGAGCCCCGTGGGAACGTAAAAAGAGGAATTCGCATCAATGAATCCCTCTACTGTTCAAACACTCCCTTCTCTACATGGTTACTTGCCGTTAAGCATCTTGATACCCTCTCTCCTATCATTCTCACTTCCACCCTCTTTATCTTTACCCCTTGGTGAAGTTTCCCTACTTCTCACGCTCCTCTTGTTAACTCCTTAAAAAGGACCTTGTCCACCATCTTCATGGCAGAGATACGTTTACGTTTATTAATGACTACCAAATCCCACTTGGAAGCAAGACCCAGAACTTATTTTAAAATCAAAGCTTGAGCTCAGCCTGAGTTAAGTGAGGACTGGAGTCATGATTTGTATTCTTAAATTCGCAAAACACAGGGAAGCATCTAACCCAGGCTTGTAGATGTCTCCTTATCTAGTTGAGCTTTTCAGAAACTGTTGTTTGGGAACCACGTTCTGCAGACACTTTGTTCACTCTCTAAAATGGCAAACATTTCATGCAAGATTACTTCCCCTGGATCTTAAATGTGCATAGACATTACCGTCATCTTGGTTCTCTGTAGTTAAGTTGACCTGCTCAGTTAGTTGACAGACTTGGAAAGTGACAGAAAAGTTAAGTCAGAACTTAGGAATGGTGCTTTCCTGATGCTAGGCGTCTAAATGAATAAAATGGAGAAATTAAATAGAACCAAATGAGGTCATTTGATCTAAGTAAAATTTTAGTAATGTGATTGAAGGAGACAAGGACTGGCATGGTGCCCTGCCATAAACTATGCTACCTTAGGAACTGGCAAATAGGAGGGAGTATTAAAAATGAATGGTCACATGTATGGTGAAAATATCACAATGGATAAAGTATTACAGATTCTCTGTAAGTAAAAATGTCATATTATATGTAAAAAAATATTCTTTTGGATAAAATTAAGCCACTTAGTATTAGATGGGGTTTTCAAATATTGATTGATTGATGGAATATCTCTTTCAGATAATATATGGGAAAATTAGTTTTAGAATATAGTTTTGTTCCTTAAGAAAACTATTATCTAGAACAGGGATTAGCAAACTTTTTCTGTAAAAGGCCAATAGTAAATATTTTAGACTTTGTGGACCAAGAGACAAAATTGAGGATATTACATATGCACTTATATAATAAGACAGAAAACAAATTTCCACACATTTTTATTAATGAAATATAATTATCTTATTCAAACTATAATAATTGAGTACAATTTTTCATAATACAGGTCTTCTGATAGGAAGAATGAAAAAAATTTTTTGAGAAAATAACATTTTGCTTAATTGGAGTGCTGCCATTGTAGAGCAAAAGCAGCGCCATAGACAATATGATCACATTTATAAACTAACTCCAGAGTGAATTTTTCTAAAGATGACAGAGGCCCAAACATGGAGAGAGAGCTTTTCTCTACATTTCATTTTAAGGAGCTTTTTTTCCCATTAAGAAGGAATGTTACCTTTTAAGGAGTACCTTGTTGGTGCTAGAATGTTTCTCTTTATGGTTGAACAGGTATTTCTGCTGATGGGGAGGTTTGGTTGATGCATAATGCAGATACACAATGCACAGTAGAGGAAAGAGAGGAGGCCAAAGGGCAGAGAAAAAAAATTTTTTTTTTCTTTTGGCCACACCACGTGGCATGAGGGATCTTAGTTCCCCGACCAGGGATCGAACCCAGGCCCCCTGCAGTGGAAATGCAGAGTCTTAACCACTGGACTGCCAGGGAAGTACCCAGAGAAAATTTTTTATGTTTAAGTTTTCCTTGTCTTGCCATAAAATATGAATTTTATTTCACAAATAATACAAAAGAACAAGCTGGATCAATTTCCAGATTCACTCATTTAATAGGAACTCTGCTAGGGGCTAAGGATGCTCTGGTAAGCCTGTCATTTATCTCACACATATGTCTCAGCCCTTCTATACCCCCTGCTGTAGCGGGTCTGAAAGGCTACAAACTTCATTTCCGAGGATCCCAATGCTGATGGGCAGAATTGGTGAGGAACAGAGGGAAGAAAACGGTTAAAATTTTTAACACTTTAGTTAATACCTGAAACTATAGTTATTTTCTGACAGCTTGGAAATTATGCAATGTGTTAGCTGTTTAAGAATTCGCTCAGATGAAAGGAATAATCACATGGTTTATTACTATTATACAAATAAGTTACATTAGGGTTGTTCAGATTTTTTTTTTCCTAGACCCTTAAAAATCTTGAAGTAGCTTAGAAATTTGAATAAAAATGGGAATTTGGAAAGTTGTGCAGAGGATTTTGGATGACAACCCAATTCCTAATAAACAAAATACATGGAACAGGCAGGAATATATCACAGTATTCAGCCATTAATTGGGAAAGGAGACCAGGAGCACTTGCTATGTTCAAATTCCAAGGTCTTAGATTGATGTGGTAAATAGAAAGGACTTGCTAATGCTACAGACAAAGTGAGAAATGTGGGTAGATGCAGAAATAAAAGGATATTTCTACAATAAAATGTTATGTTAACAAAAAAAGTCCACAGGAAAGTAGTCATCCCCAGATATTTTTGTAGCAGCAACTCCATTTAAAACGTACAAAACAGGTACCACATCTACAGAGCTGACTGAAAAAAAGTTCCTGCATTTGAATTCGTCAGACCCAATTTTAGCTATCACAAGGAGTAACAAAAGATAGACTAAAAAGTGTGTTTAGAGAAAAGTAGATAAGTTAAGTTTACTGAGTAAAGTTCTCATTATGAATAATTGAGATGGAACCACACAGATGATTTGGGACATCACTACAAGATAAGATCAACACTGTCACACGCTTGTGTCAGGACACTTTTTTTAGAGAGCCTTTACTATTAAACAATTGTCATTCCAATATATAGAGGTTTTGGCTAACAAAGTGTTTAACCTCCATTTCTCTATCAATATTAACGTTTTCAGATTATTTATCCAGCACTTCTTATTTGTATGAGCAGATCCTCACAAGCCTGTCAGGTAAGTTGGCACTCCTACTATTTTTTTTCCCACTAAAGGAGGAGGAAGAGGGACTTCCCTGGTGGCGCAGTGGTTAAGAATCCGCCTGCCAATGAAGGGGACATGGGAAGATCCCACGTGCCCCGGAGCAACTAAGCCTGTGTGCTACAACTACTGAGCCTATGCTCTAGAGCCCGTGAGCCACTACTACTGAGCCCCTGCACCATAACTGAAGCCCGGGCGCCTAGAGCCCATGCTCTGCAACAAGAGAAGCCACCACGATGAGAAGCCCATGCACCGCAACAAAGAGTAGCCCCCGCTCACCCGCAAGTAGAGTAAGCCCGTGCGCAGCAACGAAGACCCAACGCAGCCGGAGAAGGAAAAGAAACAGAATCTTTTGCAGGAATACACACATCTTTACCGAAATTAAGAACCCATCTAGGAGGGCTATTCATCAAAAATCTCTTTTTCTACCCAAGTAGAAAAAATAGCTATAATTAGTTACTTATTAATGAAAAGGAAGAAGAAAGAAAATGGGGGATTTCAGCATTGTTTCAATTGGAGAAGTGGAGTATTGGATTGGCCAAAAACTTCCAAAACCCCAATGAACTTTTTGGCCAATCCAACAGAATGGCTAATTGACACTAAAATTCCTAAATACAATTTTTAAAAGCATGAAAAGTGACGTTTTATTCCACTTTATATACTGCTTATATCTAACTAAGCAGCTTATTCTATGGGGTCTAATTTCATCTGAAAATAATTTTTTTGACCATCCTTTTAAATAGGCTAGAGTTAAACCCATTTTATAATTCACTTACTTATAAACACACATTTGTTATATACAAAAGTGGGGTGTCTAAAAGACTATCAGCAAAGTAACTTTTTAATCTGAAATTATACAATAATGCCAGATAGTTTCCTAAATAATATTTTTATCATAAAATGTCAGTGGCTCCCCAGTGTTACTGAATAAAATTTCAACCCCTTGCTCTGGCATTGAAGGCCGCTACAATGTATGTATCTCTTCAAACTTGCCTTAGTTACTAAATTTGACAAATTCCTTTAGTCTTTTCAGCTAACATGTCACCCTGTCCATGCAATAGCACACAGCCAGAAGTAACCTTTCCCTCCTCTGAACTTCCACAGCATTCAGTTCACCACTCACAAGTTATTTACCATGGCACTGTCTTATTTTAATGTGCAAGTCTTATCAATATTACTATACTGAAAGCTTAAGCCCAAGTATGTATGTATGTGTGTGTGTATGCTTTATCGCTTTCATTGTCAGGCATAGTAGGCACTCAAAAGTATTTTTCTATAATCTTTCCTTCCTCTATGGAGAAGTTTTTTAGGTTTGGAAGGAGCAGAAAGAGTGAAAGGAGGTGCAGTGGTCCTTTGTTGATCTCAATAAATTATACTTACTAAGTGTATAATATTTTCTGGTTTGTAAAAGGCTTTATATGTATCTCTTTACATGACATAAGAAACAAACACCAAAGAAAAATGAACAATGTTTAAGATCAGGGCTATTAGCAAATATTTAGGAAAAATAAAGATAAGGAGACAAGAGGAAATGGCTAGCTTTGCGGAGGTAACAAAAATACGGTTAATTTAAAAGGAAATTTTAAAAGGCTAGAAAAGATTAACTGGAGGACGTCTACAGGATTTTAGAACACTAAAGTTTTAAATTATACTGCAACAAGGGGATAATGAAGGCAATGAAAGATTGTAGGGAAATGATAAAGGAAGAGCCCCACCGTTTGCAAAGTCCCTAGTCAGCCAGGGGTACTTCAGAGCAGGAATCCAGCAAGGGTACTTGAGAACAGAAGAAAACGCTATGCTGGGGACGATTTCCTCAGAGGCAGAACCCATTCTTGTTAAAGCTGGAAGCTGGGGACGGGCACTCAGGCACCTACGAAGAAGGTAGCAGTCTCTGAAGAACTTAGCAGAAGGTGATCTGGGTGAAAACAGGAGATATCATGAAATTCTTGAGAGTCTTGACTTCACAGGTTGATACTTTGAATGTTGTGGAATCGTTTTGGTCAGATACCCAGGACTCCCAATGTGTTTCTGAAAAGATACATTTTCTCCTACTGCCCATACTTGGGTCTCTATCAACATTGGCTGCCTCTGACCCAACCTCCCTCTCCCCAACCACAGGGCAGTTTTAAAAACATGAACAATACTTGTTATAAACGTTTGGTGTGAATCCTCTGACCTGGAGGGAGTTGAAGCTTAGCTGGCAGGAGCTTTCATGCACACTTGGCTTTAAGTTGGGAGAGAGGGATATGGATGGTGTCTTGGCACTTGGTTAGGCCCAAGATAACCGAAAGGTGAGAAACAAGCTGTTGAGGATCATAGGATTTTTTTTTCTTAATTTTTAAATTTTTTTGGCTGCACAGCCTGTGGGATTTTAGTACCCGAACTAAGAATTGAACCTGGGCCCTCAGCAGTGGCAGTGTGAAGTCCTAACCACTGGACAGCCAGGGAATTCTCGCATCATAGGATTTTCGTCAAGATTCATAATAGTTTTGATCTGACTTGATAAATTGATTTTTATTTACCTGAATGTGAAAGGTTTCCCCCTAAAGAGTAGCAAAATTAATATGAACTAATGTAGTTAACGTTGACTACAGACTGGAATTGTACAGATGGAGCAGTCTCACAATGTCTTAATGATAAAGAAGCTGTTTAAGGCATTCTTACTATAACTACTATGCTGGTGAAGAAATATGGATTCCTCCACCCCAACTCTGACAATCTTACATATTTGACAATAAATATACTAGAATCCGAATCTAGGTAAATATTCTAGACCCAGAATCTAGAACCTCAGAGAATTAGACAAACACAAATGGCCTTAGATAGTCCTCAGAAATCTAGACAACATTAGATTTTCAGAGCTATGAAGGTCGTTTCACTGGTATATTTAATAAATGTTTATAGCACCTGTATGCAAGGCACAATGGGGGTATAAGACATCATTGATCCAACCAACTGGTGAGGAATTCATTATAGGCAAAATGAACAGTCAGAGCAGCAGCCCCCCAAATCAGAGCCATCCACCCAGGAGACGTCATAAAGTGCTGGCCGAGGGTGATTAATTAGCCAGTCTAGAAGCCCATTTAAGTCTAAAAGGTGAGAATCATTTCAGGTCTGACCTCTTCTAGACAACTCTCCCATAGCCTCTTATCAAACAAGTTGTTTTTTTTTTCAATCACCTTCTAAGATGTAGAAGATAATTCACCTCAGCCAGTCTCTATTTCTAACAAACACCTGATGACGTGTGCGAGTAAATAAAGCCCAGCTCACAATTTTCTAGTCAGCAAGGGCTCCAGGGTGGCTTCAGTTCAACGAGGAGTGAGCAACTCTGGCATATAAGACATGGGTCATGGAGACAGAATTTTTTTCCCAGCGTGGCTTCTCTGATGTTGAATAAGGTATGAAGTTCGGGTGAAGCCTTTTCCGCATGTATCACACTGATAGGGTTTCTCACCAGTGTGGATTTTTTGGTGCTCAATAAGGCTTCTATTCCTAGTGAAACTTCTCTCACACTCATTACATTTATAAGACACGGGAGCCTCAACATTTTCCCACTGGCTTTCCATCCTCCCCTGACTCTCCCAGGTCTCTCCACGGTCAGGATTCTGAACGTTTTTATCCCCGTGGATCCTCTGATGTCTCAGGAGATGTGAATTGCGCCTAAAGGCTTTGCCGCACACATTGCACTGGTATGGCTTCTCCCCAGTGTGGATCTTGCGATGTTCAAGGAGGCTGCAGCTCTGGCTAAAGGTTTTCCCGCAGTCATCACACTCGTAGGGCTTCTCCCCGGTGTGAGTTCTCTGGTGTTTGATAAGGTTTGAACTGTGACTGAAGACTTTGCCACATTCCTCACACTCATATGGTTTCTCCCCAGTGTGGACTCTCTGATGAATGACGAGGGCAGAGCTCCCGATGAAGGTCTTGCCACACTCCTCACATTCATAGGGTTTCTCCCCAGTGTGGATTCTCCTGTGCTTAGTCAGGCCTGAACTCTGAGCAAAAGTCTTCCCACATTCATGGCAATAATGCCGCCTATTCCCTGCAGCACTTTTCTGCTTTCTTTGTAACCTGCCCTCCTGATCACCAGCTTCTGCACGTGCAGGAATCTGGCCAATGGCTTCACCCAGGTGGCATGGCATCTGCCCAGACTCTTGTCCTGGATGGTCCTCGTCTGGAGGCAGGTCCCTGATCTTCGTCTGCACTGCATCACCTGAACAACAAATGACCAGCAACTGTCAATTACGCCCTGCCACAGGGGAGAGCTTCGTGATGAATCCCAGGGAGGCAAGAATTATAGAGGTGTATACATGCCATGGATGAAGATTTAAGTATTAGAATAAAGATGGGAATAAAGGGGGAGAACAGGGGTGCTGGGGAGGGAGACCTGAGAATGAGAATGGGGCCATTGGAAGAAGGGTACAATCTGGGAATGGAGAGATTGGAGGGAAGGTGGTGAGGCCTGAAGACTGTGCTGGGGATAAATGCAGATGCTCTAAGTTCTAAGAAAGTAAGGCGGGGCCATGTGCTTAGGATTAGATACTAAAAGGGCTGAGCAGAAGGTGATAGTAAACAAGGCAAGTGAAAGGATTTCTAAAATGTTCTGTGAGAAACAGGGAAAGTAGGAACTCACTGACCACTGGAAGGTGCAGTCATCTCTGGCTGCACCCCAGGCAGAGGCAGGGTCTGCCAAATAAAACTGGCATCAGTGCTGGGAGATCTGAGCTGGAGCCCCCACTGTGCTGCCAGTGAGCTATGTGAACTCAGACAAGCCAGGCAATCTTGTGCGCCTCTGCACTGCACGCTCATCTCTAAGGCCAGGCTCTGCATTCAATCTCTGGCTCACTTCTAGCTCTCACTCAATGGTCCCATGGCCCACTTCCTGAAGCGATCCCTCAGCTCTCCTGCACTATCAGGGCTAGCAGCAGGAAGGGAAGGGGAAGAAATCAGCATTTACTGAGCATCTACTATGAGCTGGACCTGTACTAAGGGCTGTACCTCCTTCATCCCACTTAAACTGAACTGACCAGGACACTGGCAGGACAGATAAAAAAGCAAGGCTCAGAAGGGTTAATAAACTAGTCACACAGCTGGTTAGTAGTTGGGATTCAGAAATGGTGATTCTAATTCCAAACATAATTCAAACAGTTTCTAACAGCCTAGTAGATTCTAATACACAAAGGAAGCCAGGAAACCTTATAAGAAATCAGTGCCCATTAGTCTTACCCAAGGAGATCAGGCTGCCACAGTTCTCCTGCCTTTCATCTCTGTAGAAGTTCACCTGAGATGAATCCAGCTGTGTCCATCCAGGAGTGAGGGTCAGGGCCACATCTTCCATTTTCAGCAGCCCCTGAAACAGTGAGTAATGCCATGTAATTCCTCTTGCCCAAAATCACTCCCAAAGCTGGGTACATGCAATGAAGGAGCATCCCCTTTACAGGAGCTCTTTACAAAAAAGCAAGTATGGCATATTTATGCCTACTTAACCCTATCTCTAATAACATCTCTGTCAAAAAAATAACCATTAAAGGAAAGAAATACACACATTATCAGTACTTTCACATAAACATCTAAACAGTCCAGAAGGTGAAAGGTTTGGAAAAACAAGGGCCAGTGCAGTGAAAGGAGTGGAACCATATCCAAACTTTTCAAAATATTTGTGGTGTGCTTTGGCAAAGTGGGGATGGGGGCTTATTTGTATTAATGATTTTAAAATACAGTGAAATCTAGGTCTGAGGTGAGGAAAAACCAGAGAAAATAGGTTCTACGGAGCCTCAAATACTGAGATCTTCAAGCAGGACATGAAAGACTGGGTAAGAAATTAAAATCCAGGTTAAGTAAAGACTATTCAAATTGTAATATTAAATCTTAGACTAAAAGCACATGCCTTATCTGTTCCTTCAAGTTTAAGTTCCTAGAGGGCAGCGGGCATGACTCTATATCCCTCACTAGCAGCACGGTTTATGATACTTAAAAAAACAAAACTACATCACCATCACAACAAAATCTTCAGTTTGTATTTGCTAAATTTCCCTTGCTGAAGAGAAAATCTCCTTGATGAAGGAGCTGACCAAACAGATGGCTAGGAAGAGCAGGGAAGCACAGTCTCCAAGCTAGGAGTGAAACAGGAACATCTTCTTAAGTGAATACCAAAATAATGACAGATGATGATTAGCAACCTTGGGATAAATGAGAATACTCAAACTCCATGTAGATCCAGGATGAGGGTGGAGGAGGCATGGAGAGAAAGGGATCTGATGGGAAGCCCATCAGCAGTGAAGGGTGCTGGGTGCTGGGGGAGGGACAGGGGTTCCACCTCACCTGGGACTCTGGGGCAAGCCTGGCGGCTACCACTTCATCTCCTCTGCAGCGCCCTCCAGAGGCAAGCCTAGGAACCTGGAGAACTAAGAAGGAAAGAAGCTCTGGATGAGATTGACCCTGACATTCAACCTCCCTGGCATTCAGCCTCCGTGAGCCGTGAAGTCCAAGTTCAAAAACTGCATAAATTCCCATAAAGAAGTTTATACAGTGTGTCTTTCCAAAATTCCTGATCCCTGCCAGCTCAAATCCTATGGCCTGAAGAGATGTGATGTACTCCACAGATGCACAAAACAATGGGCTGGATCCTTGGTAAGAAGTGGTAGCAACATAAAAACAAAACAAAGCATTCCATCTGAAGAGTCTTTAATCTTGAATTTTGCTGAGAGAGGGAATAAGAGGATTTCTGTGGTTTCTTTTTTTGGCCGCACCATGTGGCATGAGGAACTTCCCTGACCAGGGATTGAACCCGCACAACCTGCAGTGGAAGCACGGAGTCTTAAGCACTGGACCACCAGGGAAGTCCCAAGGATTTTCATTGTTGTTAAAATTTCTTTAGTAGCTCTTTGGGTGCTTTATTCTTTTCTTTCTTTTTTTTTTTTTTTTTTGGCTGCATTGGGTCTTCGTTGCTCTGAGCAGGCTTTCTCTAGTTGTGGCGAGCGGGGGCTACTCTTTGTTGCGGTGCACAGGCTTCTCATTGTGGTGGTTTCTCTTCTTGTAGAGCACGGGCTCTAGGCACATGGGCTTCAGTAGTTGTGGCACGCAGGCTCAGTAGTTGTGGCTTGTGGGCTCTAGAGCGCAGGCTCAGTAGTTGTGGCGCACAGGCTCAGTTGCTCCACAGCATGTGGGATCTTCCCGGAGCAGGACTCGAACCCGTGTCCCCTGCATCAGCAGGTAGATTCTTAACCACTGTGCCACCAGGGAAGCCCTGGGTGCTTTATTCTTTAGTTCTGAAAGACTAAGAGGAGTCAGATAAGGCTGGGCCCAGAAAGGAGGAAATGGGAGTCTGCCTATATAGAACTTGCTCAGATTTGAGAGAAGTAAAGGGGAACTTTAGGTTTTCCTATGAAAGGTGAACTTTGCTGGAGGCAGTAAACAAGTTAGGTTAGGCTAGGACCTCTGTTCAGAAATAAAGATTTCCTGTTGGCTGGTGTATCCCAGTGTTGTTTGTCTTGGAAATCTGCCCAGATGTTCACAGTATGTGGGGAACACTCGGGAACATAAAAGTTTCCTACTGAGTGATTTTCACCCTGTTCTAAGTGACAGGTTTAGAAGATTTATACTCTTTGGTTTGTAGAAATCCTACAATTCTGGAATATTCTGACTGGCTTTACATATTCTGCCTTATATTCCTCATAGCACTCACCAATATCTGAAATCATATTAATTTATTTGCTATTCTCCTTACTAGAATGTAAGTTCCATTGGAGGAAGAAATCTGTCCTACTGACAGTGCTATCCCTGGTACCTACAACACTGGCTACCACGTAGGGAGCCTCCAGAAATATATGTTGAATGAATGGAGATCACTGTGTTGCTACAAAAATCAACTCTTTCCAAACACCAATTCTAATAAAGTCTTATTTACCATGTCTAGGTTTGGTTAGGAAAGCTTTCCACTATTGTTTGAAATTTCCCTATTAGTCTCAGTCTCAAAGTAAAGTAGATCTGCAAGGGGCATATAAGACACCCATCAGTAGATCTTGTAGGTGATCCTTAAATAAAATTGGTTGGAGTCTGCAGAATTCATATTGCCCAGAAGATAATACTCACTTCTGTCTGGTAAGGAGTGGGATCCCAGAGATTCATGCTTGAGTGGAGCCTTTCTTGGCTGGAACTGGGTATTTCGTGACCTCTGAGCTGGTGTCAACACTGCCATCTTGCAACAGAACAGTTCTTGCCCCTGGTCACCACCTGGGACCTAGAAGTCATTCATTTATTTATTCATCAGACACTTCTATCACACTCTCTCTGTGCTAGTACTTTCTATTTCCCAGGCACTATTTCTAAGAGCTTCATGAATATTAAGTCACTTGATGTAGAGCACAACAACCTTATGAGCTAGGTACTTTTATTATCTGTATTTTTGTAATGGGGAAACTGAGGCACAATGTTTAAGCAACTTGCCCAAGGTCACCCAGGTAAAAGCAGAAATGTTAGGATGGGAGCTCAGGCAGAATGAATCTAGCGCCCACGCTCTTAAGCATTACTCTGTACTCCCTCATTACATATATTTGTGCTTTTATGAAAACTCTTTGGGAATTGGGGCTAAGTTCTCAGAGAATACTAATATGTTTTCTTATCTAAAAAATGAAAATAATAATTTCTAGCTTATAGGGTTTTGGAGACCAGCAAATAAGATTGCAGTGTGCGAAATCACCTAACACAGGGCCTGGTACATGGTATGTCCTCATTAAATGAAGGTTTCCTTCCAGACATTTGTCATTAATTAATTTTCGAGTCACTTTCATAATAATTAGCTCATGTGCAGCTTAGAATTTCCCATATCTTCTGTAAAGAATGAAGAGCCTGAAGCTGAGACTTGAGATGATTTTTCTCTATTACAGGGCTAAGGGGCACAAATGCCAACTCAAGAACCTTGGTCTCTGGGTCACGGGTTAGAAGTCTTTGGTCTGGTTATGTACATGCTGAAAGGAACACACAAGGACACAGAATACTGCAAAGGCAAAATAGACTCATACAACATTCAGGAAGGTGCAAGTAAAAATGAGCCCTGGGGTTTCTAACTTGTGGTCCACCGACTCCCTCCCACGTATTCCATGAATGTGAATAGGAAAAATAACTTTATTTTTACTAGCTTCTAAGCAAAATTTAGCATTTCCTTCAATTATGAATGGAAGCAACAAACCAAGGTGTTATAAGCAGTACACAGGAATCTGTCACCAACTGAAACTGCAGATGTTCTCATACCACATTACAACCAGGTAAATGTCAAAGTCATTCATCGCCACTTTGAAATTATACTAGTTATTAGGCCTGTCTTCTAGATGTTAATATTTAGTGCATTAATTTTAAAAAGCACATATATAACTTTATAATACATTTAATGCTTTGCTAACTGTATTTCAATATAATTGAGTTCTTTTTAATCCTTTATATTTTCCCTTATGTATTTAAAAAATACTATTATGTGAAGGAGTCCAGGGACTTCACCTTACTGGCAAAGAGGTTCAGGTACAAAAAGAGACTGAGAACTTCTGGATCTTAAAGAAAATCCCCTCACTCTGATCTGGAGATTTCAGGAAGAAACAGACCACAGCTTTCAGAGGCTAAACCTGTTCTCTCTACCTGCGGCATCGGCTCATCCAACTGCTTCTCCAAATACTCCAAGAGCACCACCACCTCCTCCCCGCTCTCCGGATGCTGCTTCCGCACCCAGCTCTGCAGGTCCCCCGGCAGGATGGTCAGGAACTGCTCCAGCACCAGCACTTCCAGGATCTGCTCCTTAGTGTGCACCTCTGGCCGCAGCCACAGTCGGCAGAGCTCCCGGAGCCGGCTCAGAGCCTCGCGGGGCCCCTCAGCCTCCGGGTAGCGGAAGCCTCGGAAGCGCTGGCGGGAGTGCTCGGAGCCCGGAGCTGGGCTGCCTGGGGCGCCCGCCTCAGCAGCCAAGGCGGAGGCTTCCTCCTTCTCCACCTTCACGGTCAGGATCCCGGTCCGGTCCTCTGCAGACTGGGCGTCCAAGGCTGCGCTTTCCTTCGATTCTCTAGCCATCCTGGACCAAGGCAGTACTTGGGCCTCAGTCTAGCTGGGAGCTGTATTTCTTCGGAAAATTCTTGAAAGGTGGGAAATCACAATTATACTGTAAAACTGCAGTGGTCCCCTTCCGCGTGTCCAGGGGCCCAGGACACCCCTGGGGCGCAACTTCACAGATTGCCCCTTGTAGTCCGTGCCTTTGCAGCGTCCTCCTCTGCACCCCACCCCGAATCCCACAATAAGTAACCCCAAAGGATGTCTTGGTGGAATGAACAGATTCCAGATGCTGGAGAAAAATTGAGGATGGGGCACAGGAAGCCTCGGTGGGAATCAATGCCACTTCCCGGGCTCTCTAGGAAGCACCTCTCGGTGGTTGTCCCCGAGTTAACCCGTTAGCAACCACGCCCTTACCTCCATTCAAGCAAAGCAGTTAGGGGAAGGAGAAAAAAAGGATGACAGGCTCTGTATCATAAGAAATAAGACTAGATCTTTCAGTCCTGTGAGGATGCTGTTGTGCCCCCCCCCATGCTCTGATGTAAAGCTTGACTACAGAGCTGGCATAAGATTGACACTAAAATTCAGTATAAAGCAGAGCTTCCTCAGAGCACCAGGCAGGTGGACATGCCCTTTCTCTCAGAAACATCGAAGACCACATCACCAGGCACTTGCTTGGAGAAGCAGTGGCTGCCCCTGGCTCTTGCTCCACTCCAGCTGCCATTCTTCCCTCCCTTTCAAGGCTAAACTACTTGAAGGAAAGCCCTCCTATCTCTGACTCTAGTCCTCACCTTAACACACTGTAGGCGGCAAACTGCCAACAAAGCCATTGAGATTGCTCCTGCAAAAGTAACTAGAGATTCTGTCCCTCTTCCCCTCCACACACAACAGCTACCACTTTCTATTTTCCATGGCTTCCTCTCAGGCAACCAGGATTTCCAGGCTTCCCACTATCAGAAACTCTCTAGTCCCTGGCATCAGGGACCATACTATCTTGGGCTTTCATTCTTCTTGTTTCTTTCCAGCCCTCATTTATGGTCTGGAATAGTGGTTAGATCCGCCGACTCTCAAGCCAAGTTACCTGGGTATGTAATCTTGGCTGTACCACGTACTAGCTGGGTGACCTTGGTAAATTACTTATCCTCTCTGTGCCTGACTTTCCCAATCTATAAATGGGGATAGTAACAGTAGATAGTGATGGAGGAAATTTTTGCCTGTTGAGGTATGGGGAAGTCATTCTGACTTATATGGTGTACATCTGTTCTAACCATTAAAAAAGAATGCATTTACCATATTGTTCACAATCTCCACTTTGAAGACAGAGATAAATGCCCCCCCCACCCTGCCCATGATGCCAATGCTATTACTCCTTCGAAGATAAGGGTCCCTTCCCAGACACCAAGGTCATGCTGACTCGCTGTGTATGTGCTAATCTGTCTCTTTTGAAACCTTGAAGGAATGCACCCGTCATGTTTGATATTTGTTCTTTGTTCTGACAAGATATGAAACTGTGGTTCGGGCATCCAAAATGGAACCGGGTAACCATTGTGCATGTGGTTTCAGAAATGTTCCTGCGTCACTGAGAACCTGAATTTTCTAAACTGTATCAAACTCAAGGACACTACCAGCTGTTCTCAAAACAATATCTGCTAGTAGCTGCCAGCTGCAACCTTAAGGTCTCAAGGTCTCCCCTTGTAACTATGTAACCCATTTTGGGCCCCAACCAACCCTTGCTTAGCAAGCACCCTTACTTCTTGCCAGCTTCAATCCTAATTTATTTATTTGGCTGTGTCAGGTCTTAGTTGTGGCATGTGGGATCTTTCGTTGTGGTGCATGTGCAGGCTCAGTAGTTGCAGCATGCAGGCTCTCTAGTTGTGGCACGTGGGCTTTGGAGCACGTGGGCTTAGATGCCCTGTGGCATGTGGGATCTTAGTTCCCCGACCAGGGATTGTACCCATGTCCCCTGCATTGGAAGGCAGATTCTTAAACACTGGACCACCAGGGAAGTTCCCTCCAATCCTAATTCTTGACAATTTGTGTACAAATTGTTTTTTGCCTACCTAAGCCCCCGCCCCCCATTTTGTAGTCTGACAGAACACAATTCAAGTGCTTCTTGAATCCATGTCTCTTGGGTTACAGTTCTCAGTTTGGCTCAAATGAAACTCTTTTCTATTATTATTATAGATTGTTTATTGATTATTGCATTGATGAAAGGGATGTTGTGAGCATTAAGGTGAGTTTTTGTGTAAAGTGCTTAGAACAATGCCTGGCCTATAATAAATTAGGCCTACCCTAAAATGGAAGCCCCGAGATTCCTTTGAACCAGGCAGGATTAGATTTTAAGCCAGAAATGACTGCAAAGTTATTTTGGTGGACCAAGATGTCAGTAAGTCCCCTTTCTACCCAATGGAATACAAGTTTGGTAGAAGTTCATTAAATGGAAGAATACCATGCTGATACCTTCCTGAGTTATTTTGTTTGTTTGTTTTTATAAATTTATTTATTTATTTATTTTTGGCTGTGTTGGGTCTTCATTTCTGTGTGAGGTCTTTCTCCAGTTGCAGCGAGCGGGGGCCACTCTTCATCGCGGTGTGTGGGCCTCTCACTGTCGCGGCCTCTTGTTGAGGAGCACAGGCTCCAGACGCACAGGCTCAGTAGTTGTGGCTCACGGGCCCAGTTGCTCCGCAGCATGTGGGATCCTCCCAGACCAGGGCTCAAACCAGTGTCCCCTGCATCAGCAAGCAGACTCTCAACCACTGCGCCACAAGGGAAGCCCCCTTCCTGAGTTTTTATTCCCTAGTTTTTGTTCCCTCTGCAGTTCAAGGGATAACAAAGAGATAAAACTTAAGAAAATGAGAGATGTCAAGGCTGTTACAAAGGAAAACTACTAGAAAATATTCTTCTCTTGATGAGCTGCCACACTAGGTACAGGGCACTGCCATGAAGCATTGGCAAAATAAGTGAACCTGAATCTAGTTTCTAGATCCTAATGCCTTTGTATAGGTGAGATACAGAAGCAAGTTAAGCAGTTTTCAAACACCTCAGCACATTAGGATCACTGGGGAGCTTTTAAAACATCCTGATACCTTGGCTGAAACTGAAATCAATTAAATCAGAATGTCAGAGGGTGGGACTCAGGCATGAATGACTTTAAATATTTCCTAGGTGATTCCAGTATGCAGCTGAGTTTGAGAATTAATGAGTTAAATGATACTTAAAAGAAGTAATCAACCAAATCCAGAATGTGGGACATTCTATATTCTATAGAACAGAAGATTCAGGTTCTTCAACAAATAAATGGCATCTTTCAAAAGGGCAGGGGAGAAAGGGGAGCTGTCATATATTAAAAGAGACTGAATAGATATACCAACCAAATGCAACGGTAAACCTTATTTGGGCCCTAATCAGACCAAAACAACTGTAAAATGGCATCTTTGAGACAACTGGGAAAACTATATCACAATGGCATTAAGGAATCACTACCAAGTTAGTTGCCATAATGATACTATGTTCATGTTAAGAAAAAAGTCCTCATTTGTTAGAAATTCATACTGAAATTTGTACTTGTGGGTGAACTGATATAAGGTCTAGATTTGCTTTGAAATACTCAGAAAGAAACAGAGGAAAAAAGAAAATGGTGCAAAGATGAGAGTTGTTGAAGTTACGTGAGAGGCAGAGGGGGGTTCATTGTAATATTCTCTTTACACTTATATGTTTGAAATTTTCCATAGTAATTTTCTTTTAAATTAAACAAAATCCTACCTTCCTTCCAGAATAATTCCATCCAAAAGGCAGGGCCAAAGGAAGTGGGAGAGGAGGTGGCATCCCAGCCCAGAGTGAGTTCGGAGCCCCAGTGAGTGAGAAGAGTGTTCAGAGGGGTGAAGGAAGGAAGCTACAGCAGGAAAATTTATACTGATATATTACAACTACCTACTCCACAGACCCCATTCAAGTTTCACCAACGTAAGATCTGAGGTCTGAGCCCATGAGAGGAGCAAGACGACATGGGGAAATTGATTACACACAGGAAGGATTAATCAATTAAGTAAATACACAAGATATTGGGAGCCAGATTCCTCATGTCAGAAAAGGAGTTACAAACATGAAAAAGAGAAAGGCCGAAATGTATCCTGTGGTGTTGGATTGGAATTGAAGGTATCAGCGTGAACTCAATTCCCAATATCTACAGTTACTTATAGAAATAAATATAGATGTAGGCATGTAGGTGTATACGTGTATATACAGCATTTGATAAATAGCACTGCAATGTTTTGATATAAATGGAAAAAAAAATTTGGCTGACAAATAAAAAATTACTTCCAGTTGTTTAAAAACTTAAAAGTCAAAAAGGAAAACTTTCACACTTTTAGAAAAAAATTAGAAGCATTTTTTTATGCTCTTGAATAAAGCAAGATTTCTTTTAAAATACACAAACTGCACAAAATGTGAAGGAAAAATTTCGTAAATTTGACATCATTAAAATTTAAAACTACATCAAAAGATACTGGAAACAAGTAGAAACTACAAACAGAAGACTGACAGAAGATATTTGCAAGCCATACGATCAACAAGGATCAATATAGAGACTATACAGAGAGCACTAACAAATAAACAAGAAAAAAGCCAACAATCAAACAGAGTAATTGACAAGAACCATACACAGGCAATTCATAGATGCGGAATCTGGAATGACCAACAAACATAAGCAAAGATCCTTAACCTCATTATTTACTAAGAGAAGATAAATTTTAAGCCATTTCATACCCATACCTCAGCAAAATTTTGCAGAGCTTCAATAATATTTGCTAGTAAGAATGTGAAAATTTTTGAACTCTTGTACACAGCTGATGGGTGTGTAAGCCGGTATGCTCATCTTAAAAAGCAATGTCAGGGGCTTCCCTGGTGGCGCAGTGGTTGAAAGTCCACCTGCCGATGCAGGGGACACGGGTTTGTGACCCAGTCCGGGAAGATCCCATATGCCGCGGAGCGGCTGGGCCCATGAGCCATGGTCGCTGAGCCTGCGCGTCCGGAGCCTGTGCTCCACAACGGGAGAGGCCACAACATTGAGAGGCCCGTGTACAGCCAAAAAAAAAAAAAAAAAAAAAAAAAAGCAATGTCAGGGACTTCCCTGGTGGTCCAGTGGTTAAGACTCTGTGCTCCCAACGCCGGGGGCATGGGTTAGATCCCTGATCAGGAAACTAAGATCCCACATGGCATGGCCAAAAAAAAAAAAAAACTATGTCAGTATATACTGTATAGTAAAGTTGAAAATGATATACACATGGACTTAACAGCTTTAAATTATTTAACCTGTAGGAGTCTTGTACATGAACAATAATGTTAATTGAGTCACTTTTCTGAGCCAGACACTGTTTTAGATATTCAGGATACAACAGTAACAAAAAAACAACAAAGATTTCTGCCCTCATGGAGTTTATATTCCAGTGGGGATTAACAAAAAAATAAACTATGAGAAGAATAAATACATAAATTTTAATAGGACGTCACGAGCACAATGTTTTAAAAAAAGGAATAAAAGAATAAAACAGAATTAGGACAAGACCCTGGTCATTTTTTTACCAGTCTATTCCTCAAGATTGTTTATGTAGCTGGTAATCTTGAAAGATGAGATAACACATCCCAGTGGTCAATTACCAGGCTTACTTACTGCTTGTTATAAAAGCTGAGGATTTCCTAAATTCAGGCTTCCCTGGATGCAGCATAGGCATGTTGTGTGTAGAGCATCCACCTGAGCCCATCATGTCACCTCCTTGGGACTTGGAGGCAAGGGCAACTGATGTAAATACGATGATCTCATGCTGCTTGCTATCTAGGAATAACAAGTGTTAGGCTTGCTATCTATAAGAAATGGGGTGGGAAAAAAAGAAAAAAAGTAAAAAAAGATCAGGGCCTTATATCCTGGACCCATGCAACAAGACATGTAGGAGCACAAAAGGCCCAAGGAGGACTGTCACGCCTAAGGGTTTTGAGAATTGGAGAAGAATAACAATTACAAGGACTTTTAAATAGTATGGCTATTTGGGGGGTGGGGAGGTGGGCGGGCATCGATGCATTGGAGAAACACAATGAAATTCTGAAGGCAAAATGTGAAAGGCATTGGGCCTCCTTAGAATCATATAAAATCCTTTGTTTCTGGCCCAGGAACTCGTATTTTATGCCAGATTCCATGAAACAATCACAGGCTAAGTTAATTAGCTTGTTACTAGAGTAAAATGAAATCCCAGACCCCTAAAATCTGAGAAAATATGTCCAACAGTCTTTGTCGATGTCCTTTTGCACGTATTTGTTCTTGGGTCAAAGACTCTGGTTATGCATATACACCTATCTCATGATTTGGAGCATTACTTATGAATTTTCCTTAGACATATATTCCCTTTCAGTATTATAGTGATAAAGCTTTGCATGCATAATGATTTTTTAATAATTCAAATTCCCTCAAGATATATACATATATTGGTATAGGAGGCCAGCACTCACTCTAGACACATTTTAACTCTTGCACTGCTTTTACCTCTTGAGGAACAGTCACCTGCTGCCAGACAAAATTAAAGGTATTATGGCTAATTTGTAGACTCCTTAAAAATATTTCAGCTTATTAACTCCTCCCCATGGTCACTTTTAAAGACCCCCTTGAAACTAAAAGATTCACTTCTCTGCTGAAACACAGAGAAATTTAGGGACTGCTCAAGTTCCCCATCTAATTACTAGCAAAATTAGCACTAGAAGCTTTGTTACCCAGAGCTTCAGTTATCCAGTAAGATTTCTACCCACCTATATTGTTTCTCATGAACAGTACCCC